ACATGAGTTCCGGAAGGGCAATGCCAGCAAGGAGCAAATTCGACTTCATAGTTTGGTCCAACAGATTCCCAAGGCCATAATAATTGGGGTGAGGAAGGGTGGAACTCGGGCGCTGCTGGAAATGCTGAACCTCCACCCAGCAGTGGTCAAAGCTTCTCAAGAAATCCACTTCTTTGATAACGATGAGAACTACGCCAAGGGCATCGAGTGGTACAGGAAAAAAATGCCATTTTCTTATCCTCATCAGATAACCATTGAGAAAAGTCCAGCATACTTTATCACAGAGGAGGTACCTGAAAGGATTTATAAAATGAACTCCTCCATCAAATTGCTGATCATTGTCAGGGAACCCACAACAAGAGCTATTTCTGATTACACTCAGGTGCTGGAGGGAAAAGAAAGGAAAAACAAAACCTACTACAAATTTGAAAAGCTGGCCATTGATCCTAATACCTGTGAGGTGAACACTAAATACAAGGCAGTAAGAACGAGCATCTACACAAAACATTTGGAGAGGTGGTTAAAATACTTTCCCATAGAGCAGTTTCATATTGTCGATGGCGATCGTCTCATTACAGAACCACTGCCAGAACTCCAGCTGGTAGAGAAGTTCTTAAATCTTCCTCCAAGGATAAGTCAATATAATTTATATTTCAATGCCACCAGAGGGTTTTATTGCTTGCGGTTTAACATTGTCTTTAACAAGTGCCTGGCGGGAAGCAAAGGACGCATCCATCCGGAGGTGGACTCCTCTGTCATTACCAAATTGCGCAAGTTCTTTCACCCTTTTAATCAGAAATTTTACCAGATCACAGGGAGGACATTTAACTGGCCCTAAAGTAAATTTCATACAACACTGTGTGTTGCACCTGGAGATATGCCACCGTGTCTCTATTAGAGTAAAAAATATGCACTTTTCGTATACACAGCTATCAAAGTAACCCTTTTTCATGCATACTTGTATATATGCAGTGTGTGACCAAATATAAGGTGGGATCAATTTTTCTACAGAGCAGTGAATAACATAAAATTTACTCTCTGCATAATTGCATCGTTTTATGCTATACAATTAAATGAGAAGGTGTCATTTAAAGGAATTAACTCAGCTACTCAGTTCAAAGGGTCAGTACTCTATTTGCTCCGTAAAATTTAATACCAAACATATCTAGAGAGAAAGGCAGAATATTATGGTAGAATTCATTGCAAGAATTTCATTGAAAGGTCTAAGATGGGCTATTATGGATACATATTGCTAAAAGAATATTGACCCTTTAAAGGTGTAAATCTATGCTTCAGGCTTATATTGGTTTAACAGTCACTCTTTCAAAGTAACTATGCTTCTTTGACCAGGGGCAGGGAATCTGTAATACAGAATTCTCACCTGACTACTATTTCCAGGATTTTTTATTGGGGTGGGGAGGACCATACTAATTAAACTGGCAAAAAACCAATACAAGTTTGCAGTGTAAATATATCCCTTGTAATGCTGAGTTCTACTGGAACTCTTTTCCTATTGTTTGAAAAGAAATTCTCTCATGCAATCAACATTGTTTCAAATTTCCTGTGGTGAGTTTGCACTATTGTTTTTATTGTATGGATCATCTTGGCACTTGTAGCATGTCAATCATGTGTCGAAAAGGAAGTCTTTTTTCCCCCTTCTATACTTGTACGTTGACAAAGAGAAACCTGCTGTACATAATGTATATTGTTTGTAAATACTGGTTTCACACTAAGTAATTCTATTTTGTAAACTGAATATGGCTATTTAATTTATTGTGAAAATTAAATTTATTGTGGTATTTAAAATGGAATGGATTAAAATTGCTATATGTGCAACTGGCTTTCTCATTTTCTTTGATGAATGTCACATTATTTCAAACACCATACTTTTCAAAGGAGGCAATTCACATGTTCAGTTGAGAGTTAAGCTTAAACAAGTATAAATACACACACACACCCTGAATCAGCCCTTAGAAATCTAGGCAATCTATTATTATTAATATTTATTTATTTACATAAATTGTATACTGCCCTTCAGCTGAAGATCATATGGTGGTTTACAACATAAAAATACAAAATGAGAAGACAAATCATATAGCATAACAATCATATTGCTGTTTTCTGGAGTATCATAGCAAATATTAGTATCATGAATTCTAAAATTGTAATAGACACATGATCAGAGTACTATTGTCTGCAATAATGGAAGTTCAGGTAGAATGTATACTGCAAACAGGAAAGGTACTGCTAAAGCCAAGAGGATGCCAGCATGGTTAATGAGCAGAGCAAAGTCAAGGAAAGTATGAGAGGTAAGAAGGCTTCTTTCAGAAAATGGAAATCTTTAAACTCATAATATCATGAACTATACAAACACAATAATGGTAATGAAATAGAACTGCAAAGGAAAATAATATATGGGCTTACCTGGGACTTCACTGCATCCCACCCATCAGTAAAACTAATCAATTCAGAGAGAAGACTTGAGTTTAAGGTAATTTATTATTGAAAACTTTAGAAATGATGTACCACATGCTGCATCAGTTCTCTAATACAAGCCAGAAACAGTCAAACCTCCATTTTCGAACGTCTCGGCTGCCGAATGATTCAGAAGCTGAACGCCAAAAACCCGGAAGTGAATGCTTCTGTTTTCGAACATGCATCAGAAGTTGAACGGCTTCTGTGACACGTTTTTCCATTTTCACCATTCACTTTCCTGACAGCCCTTCACTCAAACGTTTCAGAAGTCAAACGGACTTCCGGAATGGATTACGCTCGAAAACCGAGGTTCCACTGTAGTGGCTGACCCAAAGTCGCCCAGTGTGCTTCAAGGCTGGGTGGCTCTCCTCAACCTCAGCCTGACATTCTCACCACTACACCACAATGACTTGTACCTTTGCACAGGAAAGAACCATTAATTGAAAAAGGTTGGGTCTATCTGGGTTTTCTCTGGGTCATGGACACTGCGTTGAGGCCAGGGCTTCAAGCTTAAAGGCAAGTTAAATTCAATTTAGCTCGATTGCAAAACACATGGTTTGCGTGAATGTGTGTTTGAGAGACAAAGAGATTTGTGGGAAGAAAATGACCATATCATAATGACCCCTAGGCTGTCTCTAATGAAGAAAAGTCAAAACTGCAAAAAGGTGGAGATAATTAATTAAAAACCAATTTAAAAATTGGGGTAACACACACCTCATAGAGCAGTAATGCCCTTCAAGTAATTTGGTTATCATTGCTTGAGAGGTCCAAAATGGCAGTAATAGATGCCTAACACCAGACGAGACATACAGTTGTTTAAACTAACATGACAGACTAAAAGAAACAGCAGCTCAGTTAGTTAGAATGTAGACAATAGTGAAGCTTAAGAAATGAAAGAAAGCTTTTTGCACCACCTTTTTATATATATATTTAAAATGTGGATAATGCAACTTTGTAGCCAGTTAAGTGACTTGCCACCCCTAGCTAAAAAGGAGTTCAAGCTAGAATCATATTCATGAAAAGAGGCCAATTGAAAAATGCTGTGTCAAGGGGGGGAGCGGGGGGGCACAGTGCAATGAAAAAATGATAAACCACAGATATTTTGGAAAGCTCCCAGACTATTCAGTGGCCTTCATGTGCCAGGAAGAAGGATGCATCCATGCCAATAAAATTGTCAGCTGCATACATGGTTGAACCAGTGTTTTTATTAAGATCTAATGAATCTTGGAGCAAAGTTAACCTAGCCCTGTGCTCTGAGAAGGTAGGATCCAGTAACCTACATATTACACTGTTTTCTAACAGTGATTTGGGGCGAAGTGAGGACACTATCACTATGCACTGCCTTCACAGAATAATTTTTCTATGTGCGCCCTCTTGTGGACAGATTTATCTGTAAGCAAGCCCCCTGACGAATCTTCACAAACTTTCTTTAGACCATAACAGCACATTTATGAGAGAGCTTCTTATAAATGCTTTTATGACTGCATACAAATGAGTCAAAAGATTCTATCTTCCAGATGTTCTATGGAGCCAAGAGTCATAATCACAGTCCTCAGACTGCTTACTCTGGAATAATGCCATTGAAATCAATAGGACTCATTCAGAGTTTCGGATTTGAAAGCTACCATCAGGATTAATGTGCTGGAAGAAAACTCAATAACAGCTGGGATGCTAATTCCACCAGAATTCTTCAAAATCCCAAGTGATAATAGAAACGCCAACGCTTTGCTGATACTTCCTGTTTAAAACTCAAAGCGTGGTCTTCAGGGGAGGAACAACCATCCTTTAAAGGGAATTGTGCTGAAATACTCTAAGAGACTTTTGACCTTTTGGCATTTATCTCTTAAGTGCAATCTGTGAATAATTCATTTCATCTATTTCAATCAGATTCAAATGTTGGGTGAAAATCATATCCATTCAGCTCATTGGTGTGTGGAGCAGAAAGAGAACCACTGGTTTAGTTTTCAGTCAAATTTGTAGCTGCTATATAACACTGCAACATTTGTATTTATCCTATGAACACCCTGCTGGAGTGTTTTGAAATGTTAAGAGACATGCATATCAAAGAGGGCATGACTGGGTGCTAGAGCATGTGTTTCACCCAGATGTAATCCCTAGAAACTCTAGTTGAATGCCATCAAGAAGAGAGCTGAAAAAGTGTAAGAGTGAGACAACAGTAAGATCATCTGCATCAGCATAAGGCAATTTCTTATATTTCAGTTATGTACTGACCACAGATTTATCTGAGAGATCGCTAGTTGACTGACAGTTGCGGTACAGTGGCTACAGACCTGGACTTGGAACAGGTAGAGGTAAGATGCTTCCACAGTAGAGCCCGTTTCTGTAGCTGAGGCTTGAGCCTTCTTAATGCATTAGTCACATATAGAGGGAAAGCATGTTGAAAAGAGTTTCCTCCCACTCCCAGGGTCTGGCTTCTCCTGCCCCCACTACTGCAGTCTGTTGGGATGCTGCTGGGAGACAGGGGTGTCTAACAGGCCCCCAGCTGGCTCCAGCTACTGGTCGGCAGCCGAGCGAAACTCCGGTTCTCGGAACAGCATCAAAACTGTGAGTCAAGCCTCAGAAGCCTTCAGAAGCTTAAGCACACAAGCCAGCAGAGATAAAACTCTTTGCAGCAGAAGTAGCAGACAGAGACATGTGTAAGCATATTTACAGCATTTATTGTACAGCAGGACAATGGAAAAATATGTCTGCTTCCCTTCGTGTCCAAGCAAAACAGGAAAAAGCAAAAGCAATATACAAACGGAAGTTCCCAGCAGACTGTGCTGGAAGTAAACAGGCATGTGACACACAACAGTCATGCCTGATCCTTTTAAGGTGGAGCAGAACTATATCCTAACACAGTCATGTTTACAATACTCTACAGCAGGAGGACTCCTCTAGGAGTGAGGGTTCTCTGCAACATTGAGAAGCCTGATAGCCTTTGTTTCTAAACAGCACAGGAAACCTCCACAAACATGTGAAGATTCCCATTGCATTTCATGATTTACACGACAGGCATTAAAGAAGTTATGTGACTTTGGTAGCATGGCCACATAATATGGCCCAAGGTCCCTTTTCCTCAACACACAAGCATTGCACTTTTGAAATGAGGTGGACAGAGAATTAAAACAGAAATTCCACACCGCCCCTAATATACCATTGTATGATAAAGCAATGCCCTTTTCTTTGACAAATATCCTTTGATAATGTCCAACCACTTCCATTCAGCAAAGGTTCTTTCCAACGTTATTTGAAAGCTTCTTCTATATAGCTTCACCCTGTTTTATTGATTCCTGTTGATCAAGGCCAGGGAAGTAGTGATGAGTAGCCCATGATCTGCACTTTCAGTATTCTCTGTTGTCTCAATGCCAGCTTCTTCTCCCACTTGTTTCTTCTCATTTTTCTTTCTTTGTTTAATGGCGGGTTTTAGGAAACCAGTAATTAATGCCTACATGCCTGCCTGCCTACACAGAAGGGGGGAGGGAGAGGAAGAGGAAGAGGAAGATGAAGATATGAGTATGGGTAGGAGCAATGCTATTCAGGAATTATTGCTATCAACAGGGAAAGAGTGAAGGCACAATCCTTGGCAGCATCCCTCTATCACATTGTTGTCAACAAGCCTACAGATATCAATGAATTGTGTGTGTGAAGGGTTCTTCCCCCATACTTTATAGTGGTGGTGGTGGTATTATTGTAAAATTTGTTTAACGCCCTTTATCCAAATATCGTAGGGCAGTTCACAACATAAAAATATGAAAACACAAAATACATAATAAGATAAAACTAAACCAAATCAATAATCCCCCCAAACATATTTAAAAGGCCATTGAATGTTAATCAGCCGAAGGCCCAGTTGAAGAGAAATGTTTTCACCTGCCACCTGAAGATATGTAACAAAGGTGCTAGGCAAGTCTTCCTCGAAAGAGCATTCCACAAGCGGGGAGCCATCGCAGAAAAGGCCTGTTCTCATGTTGTCACCCTCTGGACCTCTTGTGGCACGAAAACCCAACTTCCACCCTACCCCTGGGCCACTGCCACCATCCCATTTTCCTTATTCCATCTGGACTCTTAATTTGCCAAAAGCTGGAAGCTATGGGGTACAGGTGTGTGGTACAAAGCTAGTCAGATGCAGTTACTGTATTAAATTAAAGATATTATTTGTTTCAAGATTGTGAAGTCCACAATAAGTTTATCTAGTTGTCAGGGACTGGGCAGAGGAGGAATAGTGGAGACCGCCTCCCCAGCCTGACCCTTCCAGAGAAGAGGAAGACATTTCAGAATTACAACAGGGGTCTGAGGGAGGTCACAGCTCAGAGAAAGATGAGGGGGGAAGTTGGTAAATCATGGGAGAGGAGGAGCAGGCAGAGCTGGAGCAGTAGCTGGCTGACACGTTATCATTAGAAAGCATTCCAGACCCACCATCTCCCAGAACCCAACGAGCCTTAAAAGTAGGAGAACAAAGAGTTTGAAGCAGAGGGCACCCATAGAGGAGGTGATGCTGATGATGAATGAGGAAGTGGGAGGGGGGGTAGATTTACTTGTGACAATGCCATTACCCAAGAGGCTGTAAATATTGAATAAAAAGCAGCCAGTAAGAAACTTTTCCATGCCTTTGTACGTGCCTGGCAACCAGCTGTGGGAGTTGCCTGCAGCCGCCTAACACTAGTTACTTTAATATGGTACTGTATCTTCAAATGCCTGTTGTCTTTGTCCATGGAGTTTTCTTGGCAGGGATACTGGAGTGGCTTGCCGGTTCCTCCTCCAGGTGGATCACGTTTGGTCAAAACTCTCCACTATGACCTGTTCATCTTGGGTGCCCTGCTCGGCATAGTTCATAGCTTCTCTGAGTTATTCAAGCCCCTTCACCACGGCAAGGCAGTGATCCATGAAGGGGTTGTTGTTTACCTAGGCAGCATCTTAAAAAAGTAGAGAATCACCTTGCCAACAAAGGTCCGTATAGTAAAAGCTATGGTTTTCCCAGTAGTGATGTATGGAAGTGAGAGCTGGACCATAAAGAAGGCTGATCGCCGAAGAATTGATGCTTTTGAATTATGGTGCTGGAGGAGACTCTTGAGAGTCCCATGGACTGCAAGAAGAACAAACCTATCCATTCTTAAGGAAATCAGCCCTGAGTGCTCACTGGAAGGACAGATCGTGAAGCTGAGGCTCCAATACTTTGGCCACCTCATGAGAAAAGAAAAGTCCCTGATGTTGGGTCCAGGGTCCCTGGAAAAGACCCTGATGTTGGGAAAGATGGAGGGCACAAGGAGAAGGGGACGACAGAGGACGAGATGGTTGGATAGTGTTCTCGAAGCTACCAGCATGAGTTTGACCAAACTGCGGGAGGCAGTGGAAGACAGAAGTGCCTGGCGTGCTCTTATCCATGGGGTCACGAAGAGTCGGACATGACTAAACGACTAAACAACAACATCTTCAAATGAGAATAGCTTTGAAAATTGGCTACTGTCACTTTAAATGGCAACTTATATTTACCTAATAATGTTAAAGCAAGACAGTTTTGAGGAAGTAGTTACTCCTATTAAAACTCTGGATATGTTTGGTAGATTTTTAATTTCTGAAATTCATTTTAGGATGACGAGCAGCTTACACATTTTAGAAATAAATAAATAAATAATGCATCTTACTCTTTCTGGGAAGCTTGAGGTTACTCCTCCTAGAAAGCCTGAATTACCGCTTTGTATCATTTAACCCCATTTAATAACAAAAAGTTGATAAAATTCTATAAGGAAAGGCCTTTGGTTCTGAACATGGGGAAAATTTGAGTCATTTTCGAAGCAAAGCTGCAGAAAACTGGCCTTGTCAAAATCCATTATGCTGTAAACAAATTACCCCAAATAAGATCAGGCATGTCAATTTATTATCTACTTGTGAATCAAACAAACAAAATACCCAAACAGACTTCTATGTTTTTAGGAAGAAGTTGCATTGCTTTTAATGCATCTCATTACTGCCATTATTGTCACACAATTAAATTTATATAAGTGAGATAAATGCACGGGGAAGGCAATATGGAGTTTTAAATAGTTGCATTTACTGTGGTTGTAATGTCCCAAGATCATCATGTCTGGGGACAAGGGCATTTGTAAGAATAAGTAACCATGGGAGAACTTGACAGGTGAGTTCTTGAGATTTATTGCTGTCAGCACTAGAAATACTCTGTCTAATCAAGTATTCTAGATACTTATCTGTAGACTAGGAGTTGTGCAAATAAAGTTGTTGGCTGTGCCACTGCAGATTGCCAGTGGGTAGGGTCATAAATGCTCCCATCAGATATAGAGATAGAGAGATATAGATATACACACACATGCAGATCTACCTGAAGGTAATAAAGTAGGACATCAAAAAGAAATCCTCCTCCCTGATCTGTTCACTTTCTATATCAGGTAACTTTTTACTGGAGGGAACATATAAAGATATGAAAACACACACACATGTAAACTGAAGTGGTACAGTCCAGAATTTCACCGTATCAGGTTGTTTAAATGGGTCTCAGACAGAATGAAAGCAGAAAAGTGCCATGGTCACAGTGGGAAATTGTTCCCTTAGCATATCTGAGCTAAATTCCCTCCAGTAAATCATGTTCCAAAAAGATTATTCCCCAAATATGTAGAAGCAGTTACAGAAATACATGTATAGAGAGACCTGTGTCCCAAGCAAGCCTGGTAACACTGGTTAACGAACTAGTACAGTTGTACCTCAGAAGTCGAACGGAATCTGTTTCAGAAGACCATTCGACTTCCAAAATGTTTGGAAACCAAGGCGCGGCTTCCAACTGGTTTCCGATTGTGCAGGCGTGCCAGAAACAATAGCGGAAGCCACACCGGACATTTGGCTTCCAAAAATAGTTTGAAAACCGGAATACTCACTTCCGGTTTTCGAACGTTCAGGAGCCGGAACGTTTGACTCCCAAGGCGTTTGGGAGCCAAGGTACGACTGTATAGGCTTCTTATAACCTATTGAAGCATGCTAGTTAGGCAACTGTGGGACACGGGTGGCGCTGTGGTCTAAACCACTGAGCCTAGGGCTTGCCGATCAGAAGGTCGGCGGTTCGAATCCCTGCGACGGGGTGAGCTCCCGTTGCTCGGTCCCTGCTCCTGCCAACCTAGCAGTTCGAAAGCACGTCAGAGTGTAAGTAGATAAATAGGTACCACTCTGGTGGGAAGGTAAACGGCGTTTCTATGCACTACTCTGGTTAGTCATGCTGGCCACATAACCCGGAAGCTGTACGCCGGCTCCCTCGGCCAATAAAGCGAGATGAGCGCTGCAGTCCCAGTGTCGTCCGCGACTGGACCTAACAGTCAGGGGTCCCTTTACCTTTGCCTAGTTAGGCAACTACAGAAACCAAAAATTCTGCTCAGTCTATTCTATTCTATTCCCAGCACAACAGGAAACAGAAGGATATGCACCAACAGTGATACAAAGGCGGCAGGCCTACTCAAATAGGGGCGCAAGGTATCCCACTTAATGTTATGAAGCAAAATAAACATGCCAGTACCTGCAACACAGTTGAAGAGAGCAAAACATGGCACTCAGTCATTGGTGTGGGACAAGGAGACAAGATGGGGATGTACTGTTGCCAAGGCATGTCCAGAGAAGAGATGCAACTTGATGACATAATTGTTGCCACGGCTGGTTGTGGCTTGTAGTGGGGATTGCCCAGTCAGTGTGAGGAGGAGCAACAACCCTCTGTCATTCATGGTCACCAGAGGAGGGGAAGGTTTCGGCCCACTTAGTGACTGTACCCATTTACTTATTTCATATATGTGAAGCACTGCCATTCATTCAACTAGAAGGGGATAATATTCATTTTTTCTATATTATCACTATTTCTTCATATTTTTGTGTCTTCCCTATTTTTTATATTTATTTGAACAGAAACATACACATGGTCAAAAAAAGGATACTGCAGTTTGACGTAAAGTATACGTAATGGCATAGTCTGACCCATCCAACAGAGTTGGTTGATAGTCTCCACTGACAAGGACCAATGGGCACCGCGTTAATATATAGCACGATGCCTAATGATGGGTATCTCATTACTACAGAATAAAAAATAGTACACTGAATAAGGCACAATTGTGTGGAATATTTATGCAAGTTCCCTCAGTTCTGGCCAACCTTTTAAAATCTGGGGGCTATTTGAGCCCTAAGGTGAAATGACTGGATGGGCTCCTTAGTCACCATGACTTCCCTTTGTTATTGGTTTTGGGTTTTTTTGGACACAGGTAATTATGTAACATTTTTTCACTGGGAAGAAGTGTAACAGAGGTGCCTGTATGTGTTTTAATAAAATTGTAAAGACAAACAAGTCCAAGGATTCTGTGGGTGGAAGAGAGAAACTAACTGCTAAAGGCAATTTAGAAGAGATCCATTAACACTCTGTTAATGTGATTTTGAGAAGGAACCCTGTAGGTTGGAAATTGGCCAGTTTAATGTCATAATTAAGGGATGTCCAGAGGGAGCTCCAGAAGATTATAGACCAGTTAGTTTAACTTCAATTTCACAGAAAGGCTTGGGCACTATTTTTAGATATCAGTTGGGAACACTAAAGAAAGAAGCATGTCTTGATTAAGAATGGGCAGCCTATTGCAGGGAGGGCATGGTCATGTTTCACTAACCGAGCTAATAAAAGATGTCATTTAGAGATATTAAAGCGGAGGGGTACAAAGGGATGCAGCCGGCATTCTAATTAAATTTTCAGGATGCCTATGAGGAAGTTTCACTATATAGAGGAGGTCTAAAGGGGATTTCAGAGAAATGGAAGAATGTGTCTTCTGCCGAATGCCATATATTAAGCTGCTGCCACAGCAGCAAATGCCTCAGCACTAGAAAATTTGTTTTAACTCTGGAGAATGATTGTCCAGAATGGAATTAGTTGAAGGTGGCACCATAGAGTCATGGGTAGGATTAGCCCCACTGTTTTCTCTGGTCAAAGAGGTCTGGCAAGTTTGATGCTACAGATAACTTGTAGGCAACTCAACAGAGCTTTAATAAACTGCTTAATCAAAGAATCCCTAAGCAGTGACTATAGAGCAATCTAAAGCAATTATCAATATACAAATAAAATCAGCATAATGTAAAAACAGATATATTACAACTTGTTAGCATGTCTAGATAGGCTTGCCAAAACAAAACTTGTTTTTGTTCAGTTTTGGTGTTATCAGCATAGACGTAGAATATGGAAGCTGGCAGATCCCTGAAAATATACCCCATAGGAACAGAAGGGATAGGATTTCCCTTTCCCTTCGCTGTAGCAGACCAGTTCTTCTGCCATCCTTCTAATCCTCAGGTGGAAAATGGTTCTTCAGCACATTTCCACTGGCAGAAATTTGGGTAACCCTCTGCCAGGACCCATCGTCCTCCACCACCACCAGCTTAGCTAAAAACTACCTAGAATAACTTGGGGAAGGAGCCATTACTGGCAATGGATGGGAAGGGCATGCTCTTTTGTTCCCAAGATACTTTCACCTTGGGACAGAAATTAGTGGAGCACCTCCATTACACCCACACCCACCCCACACCCACACACAAATTCAGATCAGGTGGCTCTTTCTCTTTCCTGGTGGTAAATGTACTGTTTTCAACACATTTTATGACACAGTTTCATTTTATGACACTGGAACAGAGGCATCAGCAGTTAAAGGAATTTGCAGGGACCAGGGTGGGGATATAAATGTTGAGAGTTTGGGGTATCAATCTGGATGGAACCCTGGGTCCCCTTTCCAAACCTACAACCTGAGGTTAGAATGTCTAAGAGGAAGCTTGCCAAACTTGTTCCTTGGTCAAAGTAATAGGGTTGACTGGCTTGTTAAATACCACAATTTAGCATATCCAAATAAGTTGCTCTATGTGATAGAAAAAATGGATGGGTCTTTTCCTCACTCCCCACACCTGGCCGATACAGAGGAGAATAATAGAGCTGTTGTGTGAAAGAGCTGCAAAGCTGGATGGGAGCTAGAGGTGTGTCTTGCTCCCTGCTGGACGTTGGGGCTCTCCTGGAATCCTAAAGGGGAAGCAATGTGAATATTAATTCTGTGAGCCCCACCATCCTATGCTCAGGTTGTATATATGTGTAGATTGAGGTCATTTTATTTATTTTAGTGTTTTAACTATTGTATGTTTTAAAGTATGTTTGTGACTTTTACTCACTTATATTGTTTTGTCTTTTTTGTAAACCACTTTAATGAGCTTTTTTTTTTTTACAATTAAGCAGCATATACACTTTATTAAACAAACAAACAAACAAACAAACGAACCATATGTCCTAAAGATATCATAGTCTCTGCTGTCTTTAATTCCAAGAAAAATATGTCCTGGATATGCACTGGCACCTCTGGAGTCTCTTGACACTTGGAGATTTGGGTTGCACATAACACGTTTTTCTTTGATTGTCATTCCAATATTAGTTTCTGAAAGGAGCTAATATATTATGCTGAATGATGGTGTGTTTCAATGAGTAAATAATAAGTAAAGCATATAACTGTTCTCAGTAACTTAGCAGTTCCAGCTTCTGGAAGTAAATTAGAAGACTTTTTTTTAAAAAGAAAAAATTTTGAGGTCAATTTTGTAAGTCACCAGGGAAGGACAAATGTCCTTTGTGGTACCCTCCAGATCTTTTCTGAGACTGAAAAGCACTCTGCAAAACATTATTTTATCAATTAGAATTATTGCACTTTTAGCAAAGTGTGACCTATTTACAAGGTTCAGACTCTTCAATTTACCCATTAGTGGGCATGACCTAGCTAGATTTTTTGCTGCATTAGGCAATTAAAGTGTAATTCAGCTAAAATATTCTAGAAAATCAGGCAAACAACTTCATCATCATCTTGACCTATCTATGGTACCAGTGATTCTAATGGATTTCATTTACTTCTAATGTGGTAATAAATTATATAGATATTCTCTTTAAACTCTAACTCAAAATATATTAGAAAATGTAACATGATTATCAAGCGATATACTACCCAATCAGTTCAAGAATCCTGAAGAGCAGTATATGACCTGCACCTCAGGTCAAGCAGAGTATTCATTCTCAACAGCATGTAGGTCAGAGTGCGGCCCCATCAGAAAGCACAATACATCAGCTGATTCAAAGACAGGAGAAGTTGGTGACAGCATCCTAAAGATCAGAGTGTAGAAAATCTGTTCCCTTTCTCCCTAGAAAGGTCATTCACACAAACCCTTCCACATGTTGAAAGAAGATGTCGAAGGGTCACAGGGCAAACCCTGTCTGCCAATGGCACCATTCTCTAATGCAGTAGTTCTCCAACTTTTTTCTCTGGGCCACATTTTCAGAATAAAAATTTGCTTGCACCACACTGATTTTTTATGGATAAGAAATATATTGGAACACAGAAACAACTCCTAGCCGTGCTTCATTTATAACACAGAACCCAACTACTTTATAATATGACCATGGGCCATCTAGAAATGATAAAACAATGCATAAGAACATGAACCATTCCTAAAATATAATTATAAACAAACCTCTTACTTATGTACCTTAAGTATGTATACAAACTCAGTGAGAGGTGTGAGCTTGCTTTTGGTGGGTAATCTCATTTATTTTAAACAATATTATCTTATTTGAGATAAACAAATCACCACATCAACACAAAGAAGTCTTTCTTTCTTCTGATCTTGCATATTTCTCAGAGTTTAAAATCCCTGTTCACAATGACATGCCATGGAGAACTGTAGAAGAATAGCTAACGCTCTTGAAGAGAGGCATGGATAGTGTTCCTGGTTGTATATCAAAAGAAAAAGAAGAAGATACTATACTATACAGGTTCTCCTGTTTTGCATAGAGTGGTACCTCTGGTTGCGAACGGGATCCGTTCCGGAGTCCCGTTCACAACATGAGCAGAACGCAACCCGCGTCTGCGCCGGTTGTGATTCGCCGCGTCTGCGCATGTGTGTGACGTCATTTTGCGCATCTGCGCATGCACGAGCGGCGAAACCCGTAAGTAACCCTTTCCAGTACCTCCGGGTCGCTGCGGGACGCAACCTGAAAAAATGTATCATGAAGCAATCACAACACGAGCTATGACTGTACATTCAAAGAACACTCAACCATGCATGGGCCATTTTTGGACCCATAAGAGGGCATGACAGGGGTGTAATGGGATGTAACGGAGGTGTGGAGAGCTTATGTGCGGTCTTCCAACATGCACAAAGACCGGAAGACAACCCCCAAGCAAATTGGGGGTTGCCTGTACTATACTACACTGAATTGTTTAAATGTTTCTTTGATTGTTCTTGAATCTTCCCACCACACTCGCCATCCTTTCCTGCCACACCAGTGTGGAGTGCTACACGCTTTAAAACCACTGTTGTAATACCTACCGTACTCATGCCAACTAGACTGGTTCGCACATTACACTGAACTCAGGTACCAGTTGTCTCTACACACAGACAAGTGTTTGTATGAAAGGCATTTAATTTGTGCAACTCAACTGTTTGTACACACAGGTACAAAGGGTGTACATACCCTTTGAACGTAATGTGTGATTGCCTCTTCAACTCACATATATATGCATAGTGCTCATTCAGGCAATGAATGGCCATGATTGGGTCATGCAAAGAGGAGCTCTACCCATGTAAATGGAGTGGAGCCTAGGCCTATCTCACATCTTCACTGTTATATTTACAGGGCAACTACCTGGTCTGATGAGGATGTTTATAGTTAGCCGTATTGTGTGAGGGTTGCATTTTTCTCTTTTTCATTTCTTTTCAACTAATTTATATTATTCTTGATAATTTTTTTATTATTATTCGCAGGTGTTGCTACTTCTGATTTATGCCATTATTTTAAATAAATTAGTCTGAACATTGGAAATATTTTTATTCAGCTCAAAAGTTGTGGCTGAAAAGCATAAACTAAAATGATCCAAAAATAATATTAATCTTTAAATGAAGTAGAGACTCTATTAAACCATAATGCAGGCTTTATTTGAGCAAATTATCCACTTGTGTGTACTTCTTTTAATTCAGAAAAAGTCAGAGAACGTGAAATGTCAAGAACATAGCAAATATTTACAGCTCTGTATGAAAATGATACAGAAGTTCCAATAGCGTAAGTAAAGGGTTGCAGAGCAGTGCAGGTTAGTTTCAACAAAACCATTTATTGGAAAGCTCTTCTGTTAATGGATTGTTGGGTTTTTCTCCCTTAGTTAACTTAAGTGAGATTCTTTGCACGAACAAGAGCTCCCCCCTCAAGGAGTACGTAAAGTGAAAAGTTCACTTTCCCAATTGGAGATTACAAACCTAGCATAGGTTTATCAAAGTGTCAGGGTGGTCTTAACACATGCTACAAAAGGAAAAACCTCCATGTTGTGTTCCAATGTGCAACAAGGACTTTCTGTGTATCACTGCAGACACCCTAACTCAGTGATGGAAAACCTTTTAGAGACCAAGTGCTCAAACTGCAACCCAAAACCCACTTATATATCGCAAAATGCCAACACGGTAATTTAACCTGTGTATCTCATTTTTTTCTGTGTGTTTCACATTTCTTCTTTATGACTGCTGTTGTAATAAATAATCCTTCATAAAAGTTATTGCATTACATTCCTCATTAGATTATCTTTCCATTGATATATAATTTTATGGTATAACTCAGTGCTTTTTTTTCTAAAAAAAATGTTTAGGGGTACTCTCATTTTGACTCAAGAAAATCACCACCGGGGGAAAATAAATACAGTTCAAATCGGGGAAAATAAATAACAGTGAATTTCTTCTCCCGTTAAATTCAGAAAAATTTTAGAGGTATTTGTCCCCCTGCGTCCCCACAGGAAAAAAAGCACTGGTATTACTCCAAAACAAAGTGGTGTTATGAGCCATCAAACCCCGGAAATACATTTTTTCCAGAAGGTTCCACAATTTTGGCCACTAGTGTACACTGGAGGGCTGTACTAAGAGCCACCCTCTCCCAATTTTTAATATGAGATAATAATGATTGCCTGTGTGTGCACATACAAATAAATATAAATAAATAAACCCAGCCAGATGGGTGGGGTATAAATATTTATTATTATTATTATTATTATTATTATTATTATTTGCTCTTTCTTCGGCTGCTGTTTGATCGCAGCCTCCACGGAATGAATTTCTCTGTTGGCTTCTGTGGGAAAGCCCAGCCAACATATAAACCCAGCAGCCCCTTCTTAGGTTGCCATCTTCATATGCTTACTGACCTGGGAGTTACCGTATTTTTTGCTCTATAAGACTCACTTTTTCCCTCCTAAAAAGTAAGGGGAAATGTGTGTGCGTCTTATGGAGCGAATGCAGGCTGCGCAGCTATCCCAGAAGCCAGAACAGCAAGAGGGATTGCTGCTTTCACTGCGCAGCGATCCCTCTTGCTGTTCTGGCTTCTGAGATTCAGAATATTTTTTTTCTTGTTTTCCTTCTCCCAAAACTAGGTGCATCTTGTGGTCTGGTGCGTCTTATAGAGCGAAAATACGGTAAGCCCTGCTGAACTCAAGGCGGCTTACTCCTGAGTAGGAAAAACAGACGAGCAGGAGGCCCTGGCACATCAAAAGTCAACACCTGCTCAGCTCCTCACTTGCTCGCCAGGCCCTAGTGCTGCAGGCTTTGGACGGCACGCTTGAGCCCTCCTCTCCTCCTCCTTCCACCCCCAGCATGGAAGCTATGGCTCTGCTGGAGCGATGGTGCGCGTGCCCACAGAGAGGGCTCTGAGTGCCCTCTCTGGCATGCGTGCCATAGGTTCACTACCACTGCCCTAACTTGTTTGCAGCACAATTTCCCCCCCTTCTCTTCCTGGAATCATTCATGCTTGTCCTCAAAATGCTCTTTAGATCTAGATTGTTTTTAGATCCTACTGTCCACAAGGGTGGTTGTGGTTACTTGATATAAGTTTTAAAATCCTCCCCTTTATTAGTTAATCCCTACCTTTGTCTCCCTGCACATGCTAAAAGTTAATGATGAAGGAAGTGATGATTGTGCTCTTGGTAGACGCCCACCCCCAATGTCACTGGGAAGGTCTGGATACACAAACACATATTTCTGGAACTGCCTACATCTGTTTTAAAATGGGCACACTCTGGGTTAATGCATAATCAATCTCCTATGAGCTTTCATTTTCTGAATGAAACTACTTTCTCAGGAAGACTTCTAAGGCCAAAAAAAATGCAATAAATCTAACTGGTGTGTGGACTACATGGGAAAAAAACCAAGTATTCAGTCCACATTGATCCTAAAATAAAATGTGTATACACACCCTACACAGGCTTACATTCAATGGAATGTGTCTTTTCTAATTTACTTACATCTCAGTCCCGCCCATGTTTAATCTGAAGCAAGTTCTACAATGGAGCTTACTTGTATGCTAGTGGACAGATGATCACGACCGTAATTCCCATTCACATCAATGGGGAAAGCAGCTTTATATGTGGAAACTCTTACTTATTTACAGCATCTATACCCTTCCCTTTAGCCAAAAAGGCTGTCAGAATGGCTTACAAAAATGGCTGGCAGTTCTAAGGCAGTTTCTTTCTGCCCACAGATTCACAAGCTACAAGCACATGACACTCAAGGAAAAAAAAAAGGAAGAAGGGAAAAGCGAGCCCAAGCACTAGTTCTTAAAGTTAGTTTTTAACATCACAACCAGAATCAGTGGAGGTTCTGGCTGTCTTGCTATCTGGATGAAAAGCAGGGTTTTTTTCCTTGTCAATGGGGAAGGGGTTTTATTTGGATTCAGGTTTGATTTTTAATAATGCTTATTTTGCTAGATGAGAACAGAAGCACCAGCATTAGAGAAGCAGGCATCTTATGGTCCATTGACTTGCTGGCAAATTCCTTCCCAAACAGCAGCACATCCTCCTACCCCTCCAGTCAAAGTATTTTATTATTAGCTAAGCAATTTCAGGTTACTTATACAAGGCTAACATAAAACATGAGAGAAATAACTGTTAGATGCCACGCTCTCCTTGTGATACAGTACAATACTTTGCCATGTATTTTCCATTACACAGACCCTCCGCTGAAGCAAGGGAGATTAGAGCTGGTGATTACATCCAGGCAAGGAGGCCAGGACAGCTTTTGGTGCCACCTTGTTTTTCCCACAAACAGCTGACTTGGTGACAAATAAAATAATTACAGGACGGTTACCCTCCTCTCTCCCCAACGTCAATGGCAGCAAGCTTATGCTTCTACAAGAAACTGCTATACAAGAAAGTATAGCATGTATACTCCCTAATAATATGTTTGCAGTAATGTGGCTACAATCCTATGTCGTATTTCTTGGGGGAATAGTGCCCAGTGAATATAGAATTGTTCCACCGGATTGTACTGAATATGTTGTATGACTCCTGGGGTGGAACTAGTACTGAGCACTAGCTGCAAAGTAAATGAAAGTGCAATGATTTTTCTGAAAACAATGAAAATGACCGGGGATATTACATACACTTTTATTAATATACATAAGGTCCAATAAAAACTAATCAGTCTTGCTGCTTTTGCATCTTTCATTCTGGTATCTTTCACTCTGGTATTTTTCATTCTGCACACAAAGGTCTGTTCTGCATTAGATCAATGTTTTAGTGCCAAGTTTTTAATGCAAGCTCTGAGTCTTAAAGACCAATACTTTTCTTGGCATAACATAAGGGTGTGTGTAACCACCAAATCCAAACTAACCTACTCTTTAGCACCCCAAATGCCCTGGTGGCCTCCTGTTAAACTGACAGTGGGGGGGGGGGGGGGAAGAAAGAGACAGTTCACCTCCTTGATGAAGAGTAAACTGAAAACCATATGTTCAAATTCCATCTCCCAATCCATATTCTGAACTGCACTATTGGCAGTACTTTGATCTGATGAATAAATTATTTTTAATTTATCTAAGTGAGATGGTCTGTGCATCCCTATCATTTTCCATTCTGTGTGCAAAACAGAGAGCAATTGCCACATGCTTGTAAATTGGGTTTTATCAGTAAAATATGCTTGCTTGATACTGGAGGCATTTGCATTTTATATACTTCAATTGCCATCTGCTAATGGTAATTTAATCATTCAATAAATAAAACCAAAGAGAGCAAACATTAATGAAGAAGATGAGAGAAATTCTTAATAGGATAAATTTTTTATTTATTTTTAGAAACCACAACTGCAGCTAGTAATAAAAATTAAAAAGGATAATCAATTAAAACAAGATGACAATATTAAAAGCGGTTATATTTCTGGCATATCAGCTGACTAGAGAGGCCTGGAATTCCCAAAATACAAGTCATTATTTAGCAGAGAAAAGCATATTCAGTTACATGCTGTTGGGGGAAGTGCTCTGCCTGCACACTTGGGGGGTATACCAGTTGCTAGAAACCACAGAAAGAGAGAGTGCCCTTTCGTTCAGGTCCTGACTACTGCAGGTTTCCCAAAGGCACCTAGTAGGAATAGGGTGCTGGACTAGATGGGCCACTGTCCTGATCTTACATTCTGAACTTCTGAACTGAAAGTTGGACTGTGTGGAAAGAAACTGCCTCGCGAGGGACATTTCCAAGGAAGAAAAAGGGTTCACAAGAAAGAACAAGCACCTCCACCTTCTTCCATGTTCTTATTATCTTATCTAAAAACGGAGCTGGGATCCAATGCCTGCCTACTGAGTATCTAACTCTTCTTGTCTCAATAAGCTGCACCCGAAGTTTTATTTTGCCATGTGAGGCCCATGTGTTGACCCCTTTTGCTCCTGCGCTCAGCCTAATTCTCTTTATGAATCATCTGTGATTCATGCACTCCTCACCATCACCTTGTGTCATCTGATTCATTATGGAAGAAAGCAGTCATCTCACAGGTTTGCAACAAATCTCAGGTAGCAAGTTGCCTGTTTGCTATTCTGGACGAGTCACCAAATGCTAGAGGTTTTCAGCCCCACATCCATTATTGAACTTTCTAAATAAGGGAATAAATACCAAATGCTGCTGTTCATGGCAGAACACCCTTGTTCAGTGACCTTTTAAAAAATTATCAGCATAACCACTTTACTGTGTTAAAAAATAAAAAAGTTTGCTTTGCTGTAATGGAAGTTCATCAAGTCTATTTGAGTTAATAATGCACTGTCATAATTTGATAGGGAGGAATAGAAAATATGGAGATTGCTTTAATTCCCTTAGTTGTACTGCAGGACTTGGCTAATGTGCTTTATTCAGGAATAAGAAGTGCTGTTTCCTTAGCCCCAGTCCCCACAAAGAGGTGTGGGGTCAACTTGTAAGTGCTGCTTTTTCAGAGGTGTTGTTTTTCTGTTTTCAACACAGACTCGGGAAGTGCAGTTTCCTCAGAAAGAAGGAAAGCAAAACATCTTTGTGTGTTTCAAGGGCATATGGCTTTGAAGAGGAACAGGTTGTGCATCTAGCAAACCTCCAGCCCACGCAGTCAACTTGCAACCAGAATTACATCATGCACTTGTTGCCCAACTGTCCCCTCCTTGCAGCATCCAAAGCTTCACAAACTGGGAGATATTTCCCACACTATAAGGTCCAAACTAGATGTGATGTTATTTACCAGAATGCTATTAACATGCATATGTATATTTGTATTATGCAATATACAGCAGCTGCCATGGAGGCCTCTATGAGAATGGCCTGACTCCAACTGGCGCTGCTGCCAATTGATTGGCTTGAAAGAGAGAAAGCAGAGTCAGATGACTCTATTTCCCCACAGGACTTTGGCAGGGGCTGACAGTTTCCCCCCATGAATATGCTAGACTACAGCCTCTCTCTTTCTGTCATACAGTTCAACAGAGAGTATGGCTGTGCATCCCATTGGATTAATTAGGGTCAGGGAAAGACTGCAGCATGGATAAACACCTGGTGAAAGACACAGTCAATGTATACAATGCCAGCATAAAACCCAGAGAGGTTACTGTTTTCCACTGCATTTCAACTTGCAGGTGGACATCCTTATACACATCAGTACAGTTGGATGTGTTTCCAAGTTGCCTGCTGTCTGCCCACACCAGTAGGTAGAGGCTATGTGGATGTCTTCACATGTTGGAATAGCAAAATGATAACAGAATGTAACAAAATGAATCTACTCCTCCGTAACTGGATCATGTCCAAACAACCTCATCCAGTCAGGTGGAAATCTAAACAATGGATTACTAGCATTACCCAGATCCAAAAGGATTCTTGCCCAAAGCACATCAATTCAGGAAAGCATCAGTCAGAAAAATATGGTACAGAGGAGTAAGATTTTTCTCTTATAATGTCATGGAGGGCCACTTCTCACTCAGGTACTAAATCTGATCTACAACACTTCAGACTGCATGCGGGATTTCACATGTTTGAATATTTTTCTATACTAAACAAAATAGAAGAAAAATATATCTGCAAATAGAAAACTGCATGTCAACGAGAAGAGTGCTAGACTAGTTTTCTATGTGCTGCATTCAATCAGGTAAGGTCCACCTACATTCCAGACATAGAATTACCACCCCAGTGAGATCAGTGATCATAAAGGCACAAAAGCTATTATTCATTACAAATGTTCTGCACTGTTTGGGCTGAAGCTTGAATACTATGTGCAATCACAAGAACACAGCATCCTTTAAGAAGGACATTGACACACTGGAACATGTCCAGAGGATAATGACTAGGAAAGTGAGGGGTCTGGAAACCATGTCCTCTGAAGAATGGTTCAAAGTGCTGGGTAGCCTAAAGAAGACAAATGTCAAAAGGATGCACAACGGCAGTCTTCAAGTGTCAAAAGGGATGTCACGCACAAGACATAGCAGGCTTGGTCTCTGTTGCTCAGAGGGCAAGACTAAGAATAAGTTAGTAGAAAAAGTGCAGGGTAGCAGATTTAGGCTAAACATAAGAAGGACCTGCCTAACAGTATGAGCTGTTTCACAGTGGAAGATGTTGCCTCTGCAAGCGGAGGGCTCTCCTTTGCTGGAGGAATTTAAGAAGAGGCATGTCAGAAACACTGTAGTTGCACAAAGCATCCTATGTTGCAGGTCATGCATTCAGCAGAGAGTTGGACTAGATGAATTCCAAGGTGTGTTCCAACCTCCTAATTCGAAAAAATCATGTTGCATTAAGAAGGAACAGTTGAATCAGCTCAAAATAAAGTTCCTTTTGTATACCAATATGGAAAGGAGTACCCTGAAAGAAGCCAACATTTATTTTGCTTCAGTTTGCTAAACTTTTCTTTGTTGTGTGCTGTGTTATTCCTGCTGTGCTCTCACAGCTTAAAGATTTGCCAGAGATAGATGTTGACCAATATCAGAACGTAGGCTACAGTACTAACCCCACTTACCTGGGAATAAGCCCCACTGAAGTCAGTAGGATTTCCTTCTGATTAGACAGGGTTAAGATTAATAGCATCAATCTTAACCATTAATCTGAATTGTTAGAATTAATCTATCACTTAAACAAAAAATTATGCCATTTTATTCCATTAGGTATTTGCTAGGTTTAGAAAGCACTTAAATTTTCAAAGGTTGGGAAGAAACTGCTTGAACAAAAACTGACCTTGTCTTTATACACTTCAAAGGATGAAGAAATTCTTCTTTATTTTCCCCAAAGGCTTCAAGCAAAAACTGCTTTGAGGTTTTTTCTACAATTAAGAGGTATATAAATTTTATGAAATAAATGAAATGTGTTAAGATCTCTTCCCTCATCTTTTTGGAAAAGTTAAAAATAGCATTGCATTGCCATCTCTTCTCAAAAGATGAATAGTGTGAAGACTTTGGAGCTTGCATTAAATTAGAAACGAGGAACCTTCAGTCCACCAAACCCAACCATTTGGCCATTTCAGGCAGGCCATGCATCCTGCCCTACAGCTGACATAAGGTATGGGACAGATAAAGGTGGGATTTGCGTAAAGGGGATTTTGAAGAGTCATGCTGCGCATTGTTTCCCAAGCACCTGGCAAACAGCTGGCTGCTAGGCAATTGCTGCACAAAGTGCTTCTCAAATGCCCAACAGCTGGGTGTTTGTGGGCACTGGAAAACCATTGCACAAAGCACTTTTACCAGCCCTGTGCTCAGCATCTCCTAAGGCTTTGCAAAGCATTTAAATGGTGCTTCCAGCTGGCTGTCAAGTATTTGGGAAGCAATGCACAGGGGACTTTGACATGTGTCAATCATCTGGCACCATCATTTTGTCAGATGATTGACTGGTGGGCTGTCCCACCTGTCAAAGTTGGCCACTGGGGGTTGGGGGAAGGATAAGAGTCTGGCCTGCCAGGCCAAAAAGACTCTCCTGCAGTTTGACTTCATCCCCAGAAGTGCACACTATTGTCATTCAAGACAGACAGATGCCAACAATAAAAGATTAGGAAGCACTATAGCATGGCTAAGGGCAAAATTACATGTTATGAGGTAAACATGGAGTTTCTTCAAGAATGTGTGGCCAGGTTGCTGCTTCCACAGTAGACTGGTACATGAGATGGGGCATACTGTGGATCTGGGAAGCATGCCTGCAGTGGCACCCCAACAATCATTCATTCCCTAGCGGGGTCAAGTCAACCTTGGTCTGACTTTCTTCTGGAATGCTTCTGAGGTGTTCTAATCATTTTTATTCATACAAATGGTCACGTGCCACAATAAAGTTGGTGCAACCTAGTAATAAATAATATAATAATAATAAAAGGTGTATGTGCCCAGGCACAGCTGGACATACAAAATGATAGAAATTAAAAAGTTAAAACAAAAACATGGTATTAAAACTTTTCACTCTAGATAAAACTTGGCCAGTGCCTGAAAAGGCAGGGTAACATTGTTTCAGGGGCCAGACTCACTCTCCTAGCCTTGTTCTAATCACAGAACACCATTATTGTTAATTACTTTTTACCTGCCATCATGGGCGTAGCTAGGATTTGGGGGGAGGGGGCAAAATATATGCTCGAAGGACAGAACCAAGCTATCTGTATTTTTATTTATTTATTGGATGGGGGGCAGCTGCCCCCCTCTTAGTTAAGCCATGGAAATCTCCCTGTAGACTTCTCTTACTGCTATTTATTTTTACTATGATATCCAATAGATTGTTTGTTTCTCCATATTTGTAAGAATTACAGAATTACACACAATATTTTTTTTTAAAACTCACTACCTGAGGGCTCTTTTAGATACATTCTATAAATCTTTCTTTTAGATACATTATTTTATATACATTCCTAGAATTTAAAAATAAACGTATTATGTCACACTCCTTTATCACTCACTGTAGGTATTTGCATGCTACTCTATCCTCTTTTCATTGCACTATTAAAGATTTGGGGAAAATATTTTGAACAGCTTGAGACAAGCTCTGTAGCTTTAGTTCCTCCCTCAAGTCTTATTAGTATACAACACTCATTTACTCATATGTAAGCCCCACTGCATTTATTCACAGGTGTGTAAAGTGTGTCACACCAATGCTAAGAATTAGATTGTGTCAGGGTCAATGCCTTTCATTGCAGAAATAAATAGCAAAATGATAATAATGAAATAAAATTAACCTATAGATACCCACATATGCATCCTAGGTGCCATTCAGTCCAGGGTGCCCTGGCTGGCTCGGAAAGACACAATTTTGGCCAGGCCAAACAGTCGAATGGACCCTGCCCTAAAATGGCTGGCCACAAAGCAAGGCAGCCACTTGCTCAAACAATATTGGCGGGTAATTATTTGCAAGGGTTAAGCTGTTCTTTAGTCAACATGAAACTCATCTAAGGTATCTGTTGCTCACTTCACTCCACAACTACCTTCTTCTTATGTGCCCCAAAGCCAAAGGGTTGGAAGAGAAGAACCCTTTTGCAACTAAAAGTCATCCACAATCTCCCCTCACCGTTGTGAAGCCTTGCAGGGTGCCATCACTCCCTATCACCACCATGAGGCCTCACAGGCTGCCGCCCTTACTGCCACCATCTCAGTCCTACAGGTTGTTGCTGCTACTGCTGACATGTACCGCAGTCATGGCAAGTCGTTTCTGCCACTGCTGCTTCTGCCTCCTAGCAGGCCTGCTGGCAGTCTAGCCATCCCAGATTATTTGTATTCTCTTTGACTGATCCCCATACTTTGGATTGTCCTGAATACCACCATTTGGTAGCCAAGCCCCAAACCAAAAGTCCTGTTGGGATGCATTTTGGCTTGCCTGCTGATGAAACTGAGTGTGTGACGACTGATAATATTGTCATTTATCCATTTTAGACCCCCTAAGTAGTAGCAGTTGCCAGGACATTGCCCTGTTCGCCTCTGTATCACTCCATCCTTATTTCAGACATTGTGAAATGTCTATTAGTAAAAGCGAGAGGGGGTTGTGTGGGTTTTTTGGTGGAGGCCTAAGAAGAAAGGAGTAGGGGCGGAGCCAACGCTCTCGTGGTCATAGCCCATACAAGCAAGAACAGAGCAGATGCTTCTGCGCACGCGCTGTGCAGAGCGTCTGACCAGAATGGCCTGTACCATTGCGACTCTGCCCGGGGGGGAGGGGCTGACCGCTCTACGTTTCCTCCCATTAACCGGAAGCCTTAGCAACTTACAATCCGAAGCACCCACGGGAACGGGGCAACGCGTTACAGAGCGGTTCAAAGCCGAAAGAGAGCTTCCGTGACTGCGAAAGGGGGGCGCTAGAGCATTTTGTCTCTCTCTGCCCCCCCCGTTTCAGGGTGGTTCCTCCGGGTGGCACCAGTCGCTGCTGGAAGAGGCGGGACCGGGTCTTCCTGAGGCTGCCCCCGGCTCCGGCGTCCCTGCTGCTGTTGCTGCCGCCGCCACCGTCGACGTAAATCCCGGCCCCTTCAAGCCTAGTCTCGCCCGGCCCCGGGTTTCCCCTCAGACAAGTCTCATGGCGTACAGCCAGGGAGGCGGCAAGAAGAAAGTCTGTTACTACTATGACGGTGAGGGGGGCGGGGCACGGCGCCGGTTTTTGTTGTGTTTTGTGTGTCGGTTGGGGTGCGCGTGGGAGCAAGAGCAGCTGTTCGTCTCCGCGCGCCTTCCCCTCCAGGCCGCGCTTATTTCGCCGTTGGGAATGCTCGTTGGCTCCGTCCTCGCGCGCCCCGGCCCCCTCGGCAGCCCCTCGGCTGTCCTCGCGCGCCTTCTCGTTCCGGCGCACGCGCCGCCTCTCCAGCCCTCCCCCCTCCCCTCTCGCTTTTACCCATTGTGTCTGCAGGGGCTGCATCTGGGTTGGAAGGAAGGTGCTGAGCCCCATGTTTCTTAAAGCGCATCTACACCCCACCCCACCCCCTTTAATTTTTGTATCGGGCGTGCCTTTTCGCCTCCTTCGAAATCCGCGCGCATCTACTAACGAACGCTTTGCAGAAGGGGGTGAGGGGTGCGCGCCCGGCTCGGCCTAGCAACAAACCTCATGGGAAGGGTCCCCATTTTGAGAGGGGGGGGGGATCCGAGGCTGGCCTCGCGATCCTTTTCCTACTAAGCGTCCTTAGAGTGGGACTTGCACGCGCGAGTAACTGCCTTGCGCTGAGAATCTGAAGGCCTCAACGTTGAATCCCTGAAAGGTGCGAGACTGGCACGCTCTGGCCAAAGCTGAGAGCTCTTCACTCAGCCCCACTGGAAGGATCTGGATGAATGGCCTGCCTATCGCATCCTCATAGCTACATAGAGCATCTTTCTTGCGCACCTCACCCTGGTGAATACAGGTTGACCCCACCATCCATTGGAACCCCATCACTAATTCAGGAAATGGTTATTTTCATTGTAGTTAGGGGTTTATATCCTGGATATAGGCGTATTGTTTTGAGCACTGTTATACATGGTAGCCAAAAGAATGGTAAAGATTTAAAATTGTGGAGCGTAGATAACGTAGAAAAGTGAAGATTCTACTCTATGTGAAATTTAGTAGAAATGAATTACTACAGCCATCAAGAAGCACAATGCGGGTGCGGGACAGCCCATGGGTATAAGGCAAACGTTTGCAGTGGTACCTCGGTTTTTGAACATAATCCATTCTGGAAGACCGTTCAAGAAACATTCAAAAACTGAGACGCAAAGGGCGGTCTGCAAATTTAATAGAGAAAATTGGAAAAAAACTCAGCGGAAGCCGTTCGACTTCTGAGGCGTGTTCGAAAACAAGCATTTACTTCCAGGTTTCCCGCGTTCGAAAACCGAAATGTTTAACTTCTGAGATGTTCGAAAACGAGTGTTCCACTGTATTAAACTTCAAATGCAACATGTAAATGTTTTGAACAGAGTGCATCTTCCTGGGCACTTAAGTAAAAGCAACCACTAATTTAAAGCAAGACTTTATTTCTCAACCACTTATTTAGTAAAAAATAGGTTGCATATTTCAGCTGTTAAGTTTTATTCTCAGTTTATTTGCTCTTAGCCTTACAAACTGCAGATGTAGGGACATTACAGGGGAACTTTATTTTGCTTCACCAGGCTATCCACAAATAGACAGCAGAACATGCATCTATTGAAAATAATACAAGAAATTGAAGCATCCAGCCTATTGTGTGTGTGAGAGAGAGAGAAACCAAGAGGTTGTTGTATTTATGCCATTCTCCAAAAAACTAATGTCCCTTGTAATTTTTTCCTAAAGTACATATATTGATTCTCAAAACTTGAATATGTTGGATTGTTTAAAGCAACAAATCTCTTGTCTGGCATGTGTGAAATCTTGACTTTTTTGCATTGGAACTAAGGATTGTTCTAGGTTACTTAACTTGTATGGTGATAAAGGACTTGAAAGTTGTGAATGTTACCTATTTCTGGTAGAATGTTTGCCTATGGGTGCTGTTTAAAGAAGTAGTGATAGTGGCACTCTGATTTTTCTGCTCACTCATCATTTAGGGGCATTTTCACATCAATTTAACACAAAATTAACTTTAAAATGGCATCTTGCACTGGAGACTCCAGAAATGTTTTTTCCAATACATCCTTTATTTGTTGGCACTGTGGCTCTAGTAAGGTAGACAGTATACACTTGCAGGGATACACAGTTTTCCTCAGTTCAGAAATGTTAGGGACCTCCTAGAGAAATTGATCCCACTGGATCCGGTGGTGGTGGAAATGTCATCTGAATTAAATGGGTTTAGAGTAGGAGGTTGAATTAATCTGCAGTTTGTTAATGACTGCAAAAATCTGGATAGCTCAACATTGAGGAATAGGGAAATGCCATTCATTATACTTTGGGGGCAATTATTGGTCACACATCAGCAGGCAAGTTTAAAACTGACTGCAGTTATTTTAAGATGAAATCAAGTACACAGAAAAGATTACAACCTCACAAATAGATTCTTTATTGTGCAGAAATACGTTTGCTGGGATTAATTAAATTATTATGGTTCATTATTATTTCCATAAAATTTTATAAAAGGTTTTTTATAATACAATACAGTGGTACCTCAGGTTACAGACTCCGCTAACCCAGAAATAGCACCTCAGGTTAAGAACTTTGCTTCAGGATGAGAACAGTAATTGTGCTCCAGTGGCAGCGGGAGGCCCCATTAGCTAAAGTGGTGCTTCAAGTTAAGAATAGTTTCAGTTTAAGAATGGACCTCCGGAATGCATAAAGTTCTTAACCCAGGGTACCACTGTACAATAAAAACAGACTAATCTAAATAAAAACAAAAAAAGAAAGAGAAAACCATCATTATCACCATGCAAAGTCGTCTCTCCAGGGTAGATCGTAACCGTTGTCTCACACAAAAAGGGGTGGACCCACCTGGGAGTTTCCCTTTCTTCTCTCCCCCCCCCCCCGCCCCCTCCCGGGAGATCTTCCATTTTCTGCCTTTAACACAGGGTCTTTCACCAACCACCCATCACCTTCATGTGCATAAGCAAGAGCAAAGCAAAAAAATGTAGAAAAGAGAAACCAAAATATAAGAATATAATAATAAAAAAGAAATAAAAAGGACTTCCAATAGTTATGCATATAAATATTATTCAAAATATGCAAAATATTTATTCCAAGATGATATCCAGCTGTTCCTCCTTCTGCTATGTGATATTTTCCCAGTCTTCAAATCTAGGCATCTCAAGTTCATTCATTTTTCCTTCCACACATGTCTAAAAGAGCTTCTCCAGTTATTAATATCAATAAATGTCAACAGTAGTCTTCCTCCAGTCCAGCAAAACAACTTTGCCTCCAGTGTTGAAAAACAATAAGTCCTTCGTCTTCATTTACACAGGAGTCTATTTGCTGTTGTCATAAATCAAAACAGCAATCCATAGTTATTTCCACATTGTATATTCATCAATTCACACCCAGTTCCATATACAGTGGTACCTCTGGTTATGTGCTTAATTCATTCCGGAGGTCCGTTCTTAACCTGAAACTGTGCTTAACCTGAAGACCACTTTAGCTAATGGGGCCTGCCACGCCGCCGCCGCACGATTTCTGTTCTCATCCTGAAGCAAAGTTCTTAACCCGAGGTACTATTTCTGGGTTAGCGGAGTCTGTAACCTGAAGCGTCTGTAACCCAAGGTACCACTGTATTCCAATCTCATTTCCTGTCAGCTGTGATTTTCCATCCAGATTTAGAACAAAGAGATTCTTTTCACAATCACTTCTTCCATTCTTTTTCCAGAGGCTTGATAGTTTTCCTCTCTTAATTCACTCAAAATTGTATACAGAATCCTTTCTCAGCTCTATCTCTGCCAGCCCAGAATATTTCTTAATCTCTCCATGGTTTCATTTCTCTCTTCCAACTTCATAATTCCAACGTTAGACTGTTTCACTCCTCCAGGCACCTATTTGGAGGTCCTCTCCATTTCACCATCTACTGCTTCAGTTTTACCATTCCACTCTCCTGTTCTGGTAGTCCTCCATCAATATTATTTTCCAAAGGTTCTGTGCTGCCTTAAGCCTTATTTTTCTCTGGTCCATTTTCATTCACCAATTTATGCATCCCAACTCTGAGCTCTTTCAGTTGCACATACAGCAGTTGCTGCACGATGCCAACAGTAAATGGGGTATCTAAACTATTTTTGCCATACTGAGTGTTCTTGGTCTTATTAATAATTCTCATTCCTCAAAATTTTACAGTCTTTACGCCTGAGTCCCCTGGCTTCTTATCAGAATGCATTCACTTCATTCCTCTCTCATGGCAGCATATGTTAGCTTCACGTTTGCAGCCAGCACTCTCACTAGAGGGATGGAAGATTAAAAATAAAAAAGGTAAAAACTTCAAACAGCCGTTTAAAATCTTTCTTGGGCACAGACAATTAAAACATGCTTTCTCTCTTGCTTTCAGCCTTTTAATTTAATTATTGTGTCTTCATAAGCTCATTTTAAAGTTCTTATTAAGTTCGTTTTAAAATGAACACTGCAGGGTGAGTTTAAAAAGCTACATATTGTAGCATCCTGGGGTACAATTTGTCAGCAGATGTTTTCAGGAAACCCAGAAGTAGTGAATGAGGGCAGTAGTTTTTCCCTTTCAGCCCCCAAGCTCCAGTTGCTGGGTTTCAGTAGCTTGCTACCTCTGCAGTTATTAAAATAATTTTAATGGTTAATAAATTTGTTTCATATTTTATGTTTATTATTTATTTTAATTTATCTTCCACTTTGTATCAACAGAAATTTCTAAACAGTTTGCAGGTTCCAAAAAAACACAAACCATTATCAAAAATACAATAAAAATTTCGCATTCAGAAACAAAGAATACTAATACTATTACGAATCATCATACTTTCACATTTCCCTGAGACAGGAGTATGAACATGCTCAGAATGTGGCCTTGGGAGAACACATCCTAGTTTGAGATTCTGTCTTGCCATCAATATGCTAGCTATAATAATTAGAATAGGATTTCAGTCCTAAATGCATCTGCTTGGGAAATGATTCTTAAGCAAATATGCTTAGATCATATTAAATATATAACCACCAATTAAGTGATTCTTTTCACTGAGAGAATTGATAGAATTGGGGAATGATAGTTATGCTCAGTGGGAGCTGGGTGAAGAAAGGATATCCTCAGTACTTTGCACACTCTGAATAGACAGTTTTGGGGTAGATAGCTGTGCATTTCAAAGTTTGACTGTAGTGCAGTTAATCTGCTTTGCAGAGACAGAAGCTTTTCAGCCTAGTATAAATTTCTAAAATGCTGCCAAGAAAGACAGAATGGTGGTTGCAGCAGCCTTCTTTGTTGCTCACTCTTCTTTGTTTAGTTTTCAACAGAGGAGAAAATAGTCCTTAGTAGGGAGAGCTATTTGTGAACTGAGATTTGGTTTTTATAGGTGAAAGATAGCGTTAAAATCTTGTTGTATGTCCAGTACTTTGCAAGAATACATGGAGAATGCATGCTGATTTTCATACATTAAATAATGTATTTAATTGTTGTGTTTGTCACTAATCTTGTTAAAGGGAAGTCCAAATATTTGACTTCAGATATTAAATATAAGTGTAGGCATATAAGTCCAAATATAAGTGTAGGCATCATTTTTCCAGGTACAGTGGTACCTCGGGTTACATACGCTTCAGGTTACATACGCTTCAGGTTACATACGCTTCAGGTTACAGACTCCGCTAACCCAGAAATAGTTCTTCAGGTTAAGAACTTTGCTTCAGGATGAGAACAGAAATCGTACTCCGGCAGCCCGGCAGCAGCAGGAGGCCCCATTAGCTAAAGTGGTCTTCAGGTTAAGAACAGTTTCAGGTTAAGTACGGACCTCCAGAACTATTTAAGTACTTAACCTGAGGTACCACTATATAACATTACTTAGCTCAGTATATTTCCTCCTCTATTTTCTAAGTGATTATTCCATTTTCTTTTAAGTGTGTGTGTTTATAGCTCCACTGATAGCAATGCCACAAGTTCCTCATCTGTAATGTGCTTGGGACAGCACTATACAGGTGCACTTCACTTGGCGACTCAAAAGCTCTCTTCAAATAAATTGGATGGGGGTGCTTAACTTCTCCCTTGTCTGCAAGAAGTAGAGTGCTGCAGAAAGGAGAGCTGCTTTTTTGCCACTTTCTTGGGCAAGAGAGTCCTTGTCTCCTGGTAGAAGAGTGCCCAGAATCCATTGCTCTATACCGCGCTAAATAGTAAGGATGTCGTGACTCATTGCTTTAAGGGGGGAACCCCCAGACTTGTGGCAAGTCTTTTGTGGGTCTTCCTGTAGATGATAGTGGGCAAAGAGCAAACTCTTTTCTTCAGAGCCATTTATTTGAGTGCTAATCAAATGAGCCTTGCCAACTTGAAGAACAACCAACCACACTCCTGCAGAAGATCTCAGTGATCAAGCTGACATGTAACAGGGCTGGGCGATAACTGGTTTTCAGTATTGTTATATATCACGGTATCTGAAAAAAGGAAGGAACTACGCAGAGGTGAACAGAACAATGTCCTGGCAACTGCTACTACTTAATGGTCTAAAACTGATAAATGATGATATTATCAATCACCTCATTGTCACTTTCAGCAGCAGGCAACCCAAAATGCATCCAAATGAGACTTTTGGTTTTGGGCTTGTATTCGGGACAATCCAAAATTTGGTGATGAATCATAGTGAATACAAATAATCTGGGACTGCCAGCAGGCCTACTAGGCAGCAGAGGCGGCAGCAGCAGAATCAACAGCAGCCTGTGAAGCCTTGCCACGGCAGTGGGCAGAAGCAGCGGCAGCCTGTGAGAACTTGTAGCGATGGCCTTGTGGCAGTGGTAAAAGCAGTGACAGCCTGCAAGGCCTTGTCATGGCGGTGACTGTAATGGTGGCCTGCGAGGCCTTATGGTGGCAGCAGGAGACTGTGGCTGTACTTTGGATTGTTCTGAATGCCACCATTTGGTAGCCAAGCCTCAAACCAAAAGTTCTGTTGGGATGCATTTTGGCTTGCCTGCTGATGAAACTGAGTGTGTGATGATAAATAATATGGTCATTTAAGTTTTAGACCCCTAAGTAGTAGCAGTTGCCAGGACATTGCCTTGTTTGCCTCTGTATAGTTCCATCCTTATTTCAGACATTGTGGTAGATTGCAATGTTTAGCTGGTGATAACATTGCAATGTTTAGCTGGTGAGTTATTGCAGTGTTGAAAACCAGATATCGCCTAGCCCTTACACACATTGTGATTTGCAGTATATTGCCAGCTCAGATATTATGAAACAATTACCACAATGTGAACTTCAAAATAGTTTTGGACGATATATCAATATATCACCCAGCTCTAGCATGTAAGGGTTCAGGCAGTGTCTGAGGTATCCTGCACTAAGTTGTTTTGTACAAGCCCTTTGTACATTAATCACTTTGCACAAGGACCATGAACCTGACTCAGTAGTAGCTGGGTAACCAATGCAGCTGTTTTAACAATAATGTCACATAGTGCCAGAACTCACCATGAACAACTCCCCCATTCTCTTATAATGGCAATGGCGCCCACCTAAGAGATGCTGGAACTGAGTTCTATCTGAATAAAAGCTTTGATGTCACATATTCTCAGCCAGATGCCCCCTTAAAGCTCTCTGGCTGTTGCATTCAACACCAACTGGAACTTTTGAACAAGACCCCAGGGCAGCCTCATATAGAATACATTACAGTATGGTGGTACCTTGGTTTACGAACTTAATCCGTTCCGGAAGTCCGTTCTTAAACCAAGGCATGCTTTCCCATAGCAGTGGGGGACTCAATTTACAAATGGAACAGACTCAACAGGAAGCAGAACTATGTTTCTTTCCTACATCCTCTTGAGATGCAAAGGGAGGGCACAGTCTTACTGGAAGGCAGCCTGCCGTTATGACTAGTGTTTGCATTGTGAATCCCTGTTCTAGAGAGAGAACTTAGTTAAGTAAAGCCAGAAAAAGTGATCATTACATTTTCAAGCATGACTCATTTGCTTTCTTTTAGGTGATATTGGGAACTATTATTATGGACAGGGGCACCCAATGAAGCCTCACAGGATTCGCATGACACACAACTTGTTGCTAAATTATGGCTTGTACAGAAAAATGGAAATTTATGTGAGTATACATTTACAGTTTTGTCACTTGAAAGTTGATGAGCAGTGAAGAGGCTATAGTTTCCTAAGATTTTTAATTCACTTCAACACTTTCTTTGTTGTGGAAAATCCTCTGGCTGATTCTGAGATAACATTTTTCTTCCAAAGAAGAACACAAACTGAGCCTGGGTCAGATGGTTAGAATGTGGTGCTGATAATGCCAAGGTTGCAGGTTTAATCCCCATACAGGAGAGCTGTATATTCCTGCATTGCAGGGGGTTGGACTAAATGATCCTCAGGGTCCCTACAATTCTATGATTCTATGAAACCTATGAGTACCTGTGAAAATGCCACATAAGGAAACAAAATTCACAAGCATTCAGTGTTCAGATATCTACTGGATGGAAAACATGACATGGTTACAGTAAAATATATACAACAAAGTGTTTTCTGTTTATAATGTGTTGTTGAGCATATTTTAAAATATTTCAGCAAGTTTCAACTTAACACATGCCTGATCAAATCTGTTTGAAGTACTTGAAATACTACTGCTTTTTATTCTGTCTCAGATCAAATTCAATCTGTTTCTTTTCCAGCGGCCTCACAAAGCTACAGCAGAAGAAATGACGAAATACCACAGTGATGAGTACATAAAATTTCTTCGCTCAATTAGACCCGACAATATGTCTGAATATAGTAAACAAATGCAAAGATGTAAGTCTAATGCTAAAAATAACTGGTTTCCCTCAGTTTCCCACCTGGTTTTGCGAACTTGATTTGTTAAGATGGAGAGTATTATATTATCTATTTTACTGTAATGTGTAGAATCCTGTCTATATGATGTTTAATCATTTTGAATTGTTAGTTGTTGGCTATAGTGGTTATAACATTCAGGCTTGTTCAGATGTAATGCTGCCCAGTTACCAAACCATACTTTGATAACTGAGTCATATTGCACATGATTCTTTCTCTAGGAGTTGCACATGTCTCCCTTTTCTTCTTAGGGGATAGTTACTGCTAACCATAGTTAGCTTTTACACCAGAGGTGGAAATCAGCTTCTAATTTCATTCTCTAGTTTCAAAGCTATATATTTGAATTGGACCATAGTAACAGGTTTGCCACATGTATTAAATTAAACTAGTGTAATTTTCCATCCCAAAATTTAGAACATTAGATAGCATGACGAAAAACTGTAATATTTATCTTTTCAATTAACTTGTACTTTCTTTGATTTCTGAACATTGATTTCCATTATGAATTCTGAATGACAGCATAACTTGCAAGAGAATTGTATTTTACTAGTTGGATAACTATTTGCTCAGTTTAAGCCACCTATAGTACCTTAATTGGTAACTGGTAATTGTCTTTTTGCTGAAACTTCATAAGCCATAATTTGACATATAGTGATGCTGTAAATTTAGGCATACACTCAGCTACAAACTGCTCTGAATCCATAAAAGCATATTTAAATATACTTAACTGACAAAAAAAAGGTGTCTACCAAGTTTCACATCTGTGGTAATGGTTAGGTTAAGTTTTGAATAATGCCTCTGTTCTAAGGTTTTGGTTTTCATTTTAAAGATAGTGTTGGGCATTTAATGGATCAAAAATTATTTGATCCATATCACTGGTCAAGTAATAGACATTTAGCATTATTATTTTTTTACAACAATACACATAGATTCAACATCAGCAGGTTGAATGATTAACAAACAGTGAAATCAGTTTTGTAAAAGGTATTGTAACCCATGGTGTGGCCACATTTGAGATAATGCTACCAATGCAGAGGTGTTCTTTTTTCAGGGAACATTTGACAATGTTTAGTCAATTGACCAACATGCTATACTTTTATTTTTTTTTAAAGAAAGATTATATACAAACTTAAGTAATAATACATTTAAGGATAAATAAAACTTGTCTTGTATAGTTAACGTGGGGGAAGACTGTCCTGTGTTTGATGGGCTGTTTGAGTTCTGTCAGCTGTCAACAGGAGGCTCTGTGGGTAAGTATATCCTAATGTTTTCCTGGAGTTGTTAATTTTTAAAAGGCTGTACCAGTTGTTTTTTTTTTAACATTACCCATGTGACAACTTTTATAGCTCTTGCGGAAATCAATGAGGGAGAAAGAATTTAATAGAAATATAAAGTGAAATGTTTAATTAAAAGAAAATGTTGTTATCAGTAGCTACTAGGCATGATGGATATGTACTACCTCCAGTATCAGAGTCTGTGTGCCTCTGAATGCCAGTAGCTGGAGATCATGAGTTAGAGAAGTTTAATGCACTCACGTCCTGCTTCTCTGCTTCCTCTAGACATCTGGTTAGTCAATGTGAGAACAGAATGCTGGACTAGTTGGGCCTTTTATCTTTCAGCATCTCCCATTACAAATTAATAGTTCATTCTGTTGCATGAGTTGGTATATCCAACTGTAGAAGTGCCTAACAATAAACAATTAAAATCCAGGCTTCACCACGATGTCTTACATTGAAGCTCTCTCTCTCTTTCTCTCTCTTTTTTTTTTTTTTTGGGCAAGACATACTGTCTACCTTTTTCATTCCTTACCTGCATTTTTCTCCATAATGGTTCTTTAGCTGGAGCAGTAAAATTAAACAGACAACAAACAGACATGGCTGTTAATTGGGCTGGAGGACTTCATCATGCTAAGAAGTCAGAAGCATCAGGTTTCTGCTATGTCAATGATATTGTGCTTGCCATTCTGGAATTACTAAAGTAAGTTCATGTTGGTGTTGTATGCACAACTTGTCTTCTAGAAATGTTAAAAATATAGGCTGTGTATTGGCTTAATCTGTATATACTGACCAGAGGACTAGTGATCATTGTTCCTTGGTCATTTTAAATTATATTTTGTTTCTATATGTGTTTGTGTATGCATGCACGCATGATATAAATTGCAACACCCTTTTTGTTCTAAATAGCTTACTGATCAATTCAGACTCTGGCTGGAGAGCAAGCATCAAGACCAAATAAAGCAGCAGAGTTATTGTTCCATCTGAAGCCTTGCCCAAGGCAAAAAGTGAGGGGATTCAGGCTTCGGGGGTTTCTGGGGGGACATTGTTGCTGCATGAGCTGTAGGCTGGTGTAGCAAAGGCGCCCTAATTTGGTCCCTCTCTGGGAGCTAAACAAGTGTAATTTGCAGATAATTTTATGTTTATTAATGAGCTGTCAGTATGGCTATACACAGTGACCTTCCTGGTTCTTGATATTGTGTCATGATACACATAGTTTTAAGCATTATATTGGAAAAGGGAGAACAGATCTGTATACATGTAGTCATGCGGCTTTATATATCTGATTTAGCCTGGGGATAAATCTGGCACCAGATAAACTTTTTGAAAGGTAAGTAGTGAGTTTTATTGGTACTGCTCAAGTAAAGTCTCTGTCTCTCTCTCTCTCTGTCTCTCTCTCTCCCTCCAGATACCACCAAAGAGTATTGTACATTGATATTGATATCCATCACGGTGATGGCGTTGAAGAAGCATTTTACACAACTGATCGTGTAATGACAGTATCATTCCATAAATACGGTGAATATTTCCCTGGCACAGGCGATTTGAGAGTAAGTTCAGATATGAGGTTACCATTTGATTAAAGTAGCATCTTGCAAATGCTATATTTAAGGCTGGTTATCAAGTTAAGAATTTTAATTTAATTAGTTTTTATCCTTCCTTCTGATGAAGGACACTTTGAATTGATCAGGGTGAAAAAGGCTAACTCTTAACTTGATGAGTCCGATTCTATATATGGTGTATTTTTTCATCTTAATTACAGTATTGTTTCCTACACTCATTGGGCTATTATGTAAACAATGTGTGTTGCCCCTGAGTGGCATAGTACTGCAACATTGGAATGAATGGCAGTTTTGGTAACTAGGGTTACTTTTTTCTTGTCATTTTATATCTGACATCCATTTTGCTAATCTAAAAACTGTATCTTCAAGAGTAGATCTAAGTTTCTTCCTTCCTCTCCCATCCCTTTTTCCTTTTTGTGCTCTTTAGATTGTAAGCCTGCGTCATTTTATTTTGATCTATAAACCATTCTGGGAGTGGGCAAAAATACTTTCAGGCATATCAATGATGAGTAAGATAGGTATACAAAACGTCAAAATAGCTGAAAAAAACTGCCCAGCTTGCTAATAGTTACTAAAATGCCATTTAAAAATCACCAGTAATCATAGTTGAAGCTTATGTTACTATAGTACAGATGCTTGCATTTGCATGATCACACGAAGTTGTTCATTAAAAATTCCTATGCATAATATAATCCATGGTACCCATTTCTGTTGTTGCTAGCTGTGGTATTTGTTCCTTTTTTCAACAGAAATTAAATGTGCTAGCTTGGAGACAGCTTTTATATCTCAACCTGATTGGCCACAAGATGGTACTGTTGCTTCATGCTAAATGCAGGCCTCTAAAGAGCAGAAGCACTGACCTTAAACTAGGCTTCTCACCTGTCAAATACATGAAAGTTTAATTTCTTATTAAACCTAATCTTCTGATATCCTTAATAATCTGTCCAGAAAGCAAATTCAGTTAATTTTGACATTAACACCTCAGCTAAACAGGAATATATTTGTTTGATTCCCATATTTTCTGAGACTTTTTTTATTTTGCTTACTTGGAGCATGGTGGGTATGCTGTCTATCTTTCAATATATAATATAATAACTATAAAAATGTACTGTATACAGTATAGTAAACTTAAGTTTCTTACGTGCCTTTTGTGTATGTTACAATGTATGCTAAGAGCACTGCGTGTTAATTCAGCTGTATCTAGATAAAACCATTGTATGAGATTCTCTTAATAGCATTTTGTTTGTTTATTTATTAAATTTGCATACTGCCCTTCATCCAAAGATCTCAGGGTGGTTCACAACATTAAAATACAATATAAAAACACAAAATACATAATAAAACAAGAACAAAAAGCAGCAACCACAAACAAATAATAAACACATTTAAAAGGGGTATATAAGATGTTCATCAGGCAAAGGCCTGGTTGAAGAGGAGCATTTTCACCTGTCACCTAAAGGTGTATAATGATATTGCCAGCCAGGGAGAGCATTCCTCAAATGGGGAGCCACTGCAGTAAAGGCCTTCTTTGTGTTGCCAGCCTCATGGCAAGAAGGCACACAAAGAAGGTCCTCAGGTGATGATCTCAGGGTCCAGGTAGGTTCATATGAAAAAAGGCAGTCCTTTGCCTTTTGTGAAATAGTAAGGAAGGACACATGGTGATAAAAAGTGACTCCATAACAAGTTAGAGCTCCTCACTTTAAGATTTGACTCTCCTGGAAAGAGGTTGTTTCTATAAGAGACATTTTCATTGTATCGCTTTAAAAATCTGCTTCTGTTTAGATATATAAAGCTTGTACTGAAGGAACTGCTGCAGTACCTCAAAAAACAAAGAAGACTGTTGCCCTGTACTAGCACAATACTTGTAGCCAAACTGTATAAAACTTCATGCACTTGAAGTGGACCATTAAAGCTTCTGTCACAAAATAATCATTTATCCTTAAAGTACAATACTTGTGGTTCGCCCTCTAGAACAACATTGTAACTTCCTGTTAGTAAATATGAAGAATATATTCAAACTGGAAACAAAATGTCTTTTTAGCTACTGATGTACTAAACAGACGTCAAAGGTCTTGTATTCCGTTTGTAAATCATGAATGTTGAAGCAGGTGCAAAAAAGGAATAAACTCCATGTGTTTCACTTAGTGAATTGTGGCACATTTCTCGTAGATATAATAACATGTGATTTTACGGATCTGACACAGCAGACCCATGACATTACTCCCCATCCCCAGGTAACTGGTTGTCTTTTAAAGCCTACCCATATGTTTCTGTTTTATGCCATCCCCACTCTTGGTGATACCCTATTTAAATCCCTGCAATGATTCTAAAACCATACTTTGGTGAATTTCAATAAAGTAATAAAATCCAAATTATACTTTTGGGTCTGATTCTTCTGTATTTTCACATGTCATCCTTTTGTTCTTTTGGATATACTTCCTTGTGCACTGATTTCTTCTACTGCACTGATCAAATGTTTTATCTGAAGATTTAATGCTTTATCTGAAGATTAAACTTGAAGTATTGTTTGCTTCCCTGGGCTGCTTTGGGAGAAAGGGTGAGAAAATTTAATAATAAATATCTGGCACACTTCTTATATATGCAGTTTTGGTATTCATTACATACTCAGAATTTTTCAAATGTCTAGGTAGCATCTAAACTACTTTCAAACACTCTTGGCCACAAATGGTCCAGTGGTAAACAAAATGTGTTTTGCCTTTTGATATGAGTTTGTGATTTTTGTTTTTGTCTTGTTCATGTTCTCTTATAGGACATAGGTGCTGGAAAAGGCAAATACTATGCTGTCAACTTTCCAATGAGAGATGGAATAGATGATGAGTCATACGGTCAGATATTTAAGCCAGTGAGTATATTCTAGATACATTTTTTAGAGATGCTTCTGTGTGGCTGAATAATAGATTTACCATGATTTCTGCTTCTTTACAGATTATTTCCAAAGTCATGGAGATGTACCAACCTAGTGCTGTGGTGTTGCAGTGTGGGGCAGATTCACTGTCTGGTGACAGGCTGGGATGTTTTAATCTTACCGTCAAAGGTCAGAGAGCAAAACATTACTGTAGAGTCACAGTTACATATGTTTTGAAAGCAAGTACTGAATGCAGATTTAGTGGAATTTTTTTTTTTAGTATCAGTATTCTTGCAGCCATCTTTCTGGGCAGCCATCTCTAATGCTGGGATCCCCCCCCCCCCCCCGGCCACACACAAACACACTGGTGTCTGTCAAGTATGCACCCTTTTGACCATAGTACATCTAAAGGAAGATGTGAAAAAGATGTTCCATGTCAATGTCTTTATTTGCAGTGTTTCAGTTTTGTGTGATTTTAGGAAATAAGTTCAGGTCTTAGTAGGCAGACATCACATGTAGAAATTCAGTGATGTTTATGTGAATAAGCTATTAAATATGGCATAATGTGTGAGATGCAATATGGCCAATATTTTACTATAATTAGATCAGTAATGTATTAAATGCATTCAATTTATGAATAGATTGCAAGAATTATTAAACTGAGTGTGCATCTGTTTGCCTTTATGACTCTTGCAAAAAATAATAATTCTTGTGTAACTCAATGCCATAAATGCAAAACAGAAGACCAGATTCCAGAATTGATAGGATACCTTATCCTATTCTGTTTTTTTAGTTCTTGCATCTTTCAATTGTGTTTAAGTTTGTTTTTCTAGAGCTGATGTTTCTGTATACAGATCTTAATTGTGTAACTTGAAATGAATATAACTGTATGTCTTTATGGTTTGTTTGTTTTTCAAGGACATGCTAAATGTGTAGAAGTTGTGAAGACTTTCAACTTGCCTCTTCTGATGCTTGGAGGAGGTGGATATACCATACGGAACGTTGCTCGATGTTGGACCTATGAGACTGCTGTTGCCTTAGATTGTGAAATCCCTAATGGTAAATATTTGGAGCCAGGGCTTCCCAAGCTGTGGTCCATGAGCTTCATTCAAGTGGTCTAGAGCATGTCTGCAAAAATGCATGAAAAGTCATACATTACGTAGTGCAGTGTATTACAATTGCTACAACAGGCAGAAAAATCATTAAGTGATCCACAAAGTCCCTCATGAAGTGGTTCATTGGGAGAATGGGATTAGGAGCCACTGTTCTAAGGAGTATCACAGGTGACACCAGGGTTTAAGTTCTCTCCATATGAAGAATAACATGTAACTTAAACTTTAGCTTGCCTTAGTCATCAGATCCCCCATTTCAGTGGCCAGGGAGATTGCCAACTGTCTGTATTCTGTAACTGCAAATTGCAGTACAGTATTGCAGTACAGTGTATCTTGCCATAGAGCCTATGCCAACCTGCTACAGAGGATTGGAGACTGACAGAGAAGACTTACAGCATAACCATTCTTTGATCTACAGGGGATTTTGCTAATGGTTGAATCATTAAGAAGCGGGATATCTGTCTTGACTCATGTGGTTTCTGGCTCATTAACCAGACTCTTGGTAGCTTCAAATGGCTTACCTAGATGGGTGAACACAGATGTTTTAGAAAGCATTAATGAGATGCATAGAAATCTGCATGGACCTTTTATAGATTGTATAAATGAGTAAGTGTATTTGGTGTGTTTATTTAAACACAGTGTGTTATTTTCAACGTAGTATATTTTATTTTAAACTATTGTTTAAATAAGCTGTGATTTAAAATGCACAAGAGCTTTGCTCCTCTCCTGATTGTGCTGTGCAAGGGAAGAAGCAAGTCAGAGTCTGGATTGTAGTGACATGTGAACCCTGGGCTCAAGTTGGTTTCTCTTCAAACAAACCACAACCAGAAAGTGAAGATTGATTTATGGCTTACTCATTGTTGTCTACTTTGAGGAAGCAAAGCCTGGTTTCATGACAACCTAAAGTTGAGCTTGTTTCCTCTATTTCATTCAAACCATACAATCATTTAAACTTTACATTCATAAACACCAGATTTTCTACATCTTCAACATAATTCGTGGTGTGTGAAATATGCCAGTAAGTTGTTGTTGTTGTTACTAATTACCCACCTTATCACCTTAAGATCCCACATGGGTTCCAAAAACCAGCACACATTATTTAAAACAGTTTGAAGCAACCACAGAAACAAATGAGGCTTCATTTTTATACCACGGTGGAGCATCTAGATTTCTGCTATAGAAGATAACTGTAGCACATTTAATCTTGAAAAAATATTCTTTCTTCCTTAGAATGCAGATACTTCCTCATGTATTTATTCTGGATCAGAAAATAATTTTGAATGTCTATTAAATATTTGAGAGCTGTCATATGCTGCATTGCATTCCTTTGAATTTGTTCTTTTTTCAGCATTTAGTAGAAAAAAACAAAAGCTATGCTTTCAAACATAAAAAAATGCATACTATCATATCTGACCACTATAATCTGAAGAGCAATAAGGCTGTTTTAATAAGCTATTATTAATTCATTTTGTTTTAACAGAATTGCCATACAATGACTACTTTGAGTATTTTGGACCAGATTTCAAGCTGCATATTAGCCCTTCAAATATGACAAACCAGAACACCCCAGAATATATGGAGAAGATTAAGTGAGTATTAATGCCATAAAGACACATAAATACTATAACGATCTAAATATTTGCAATGGGTAAGGATCCATTTTCTTTTTTATGCTCAATATGAAGCAGGGAAAGGGAGGGGTTAAAAGGTCCTGGGCTCTTGAGATAGCAGAATTACTGCTTTAAAAGCCAGCAGGTGAAACTAGAAAGTCAAAGACTGTATTCAGTTAGTGTCCTCTGTTGAAGAAAGGCTCTCTGATCAGTGAATGCTTCTGTCAATGGAAGGGGCAGAAACACTTTTTCACCAGTTCTCCCTCCTCCCTGTGGCTTCCTGTGCCACCTCCCATGTCGTTCTAAAAGCTAGAGCAACCTTCTGGAATGGATTTCTGGGGCAGGGAAAAAGCAGAAAAAGCATCAAACCTCATTCTTCTGCTGGAAGCCTTTGCTTGATCAAATTATCTTCTGTTGCTGGAGGGACATGGTTGGATAAACTCAAAGCTGTCTTTTAATGTTTCAGGGTTGTATCCAACTAAGTCGTACTCAGATTAGACCCATTAATATTAATAGACTTAAGTTTGATTTCATTAGATCTACTCTGAGCATGGCATAGATGGCTACAGCTTTCAGTGCTTAATGGTTGGAAAAGAAAAACCTTTTTATCTTTCAAAATTTGGTGCACATTGTTAAAATCATTTTTTATTTTTGCAAAAGAGCTATTAAGTCTCAGTAAGCTCTTTTGTCAGCAGAAATGCACAAAGCATGATCAAAGTATCACTATATATTGCTTAATTTCATTATGTTGAATGCCAGTCATATGTTCTGAGAGTTTGTATTTTTTAAATGTGTTCACCTCTAACCATAGATGTTCTGTCTGACACATGTATTTCCTTTGGATACCATGGCTTGCCTTTTTCAAATTGCCCCTAGTCCTCTTGCTATGTAACTTGCTTTTCACCTTATTTTCCTACCATTACTAGGCAGCTGGGTATTTTTGTGAGGACGAGAACTAAGAAACTCCCAAGCTATTAAGAAGAAAGTTGTCTCATAACAACTTTTCCCTGGATTACTTGCCTTGCAGACAGCGTTTGTTTGAGAACTTGCGCATGTTGCCCCATGCCCCAGGTGTACAGATGCAGGCTATTCCTGAAGATGCTGTTCATGAAGACAGTGGTGATGAAGATGGTGAAGATCCAGACAAACGTATTTCTAGTAAGAATGGGCTAACATTAATACTGGGTGGATTGTTGAAGAAGTAGTACTAAAGAAGGTGGAACAGAAGTGCCCCAATAAGTCAGATGGACATCTAAAGTGACCATCCAGAAACAAATTTGCTTTAGTGCTTTGTGAAGAAGTCAGGAGTTACATATCAGAACATGAAGGCAGAAAGCCTGGGAAATAAACACAACTGGCAACCAAGGGGAAGCTGCTTAATTTTTAAAGCCAATCTTGAAATTATATGAACTTATACAATTTGCTGTGCCATTTTTGGCATAGTTCTTAGATTTTACACCAAGCTTTTTAAATTAGTTCCTAGCAGAGGTTTCTGCTAGCATAAGACAGAGAATATGATTTTTGCCTATTTCCCCTATAGTCCCCAGTCCTACTAAAAATGATTCTGGACCATTGGGGGCTCTTTAGAGCAGATTTGGAAGTGGGCACTGGTGGCTGCAGGGTGGAGGGGGAATTGGCAAAAACTGCCTCCCCTTCTCCTTCATCAAATGTTTGCCTTGTGCCTGTTTAAAGGCAAAAATTAGATACACAGGCCTTACATATTGGACCAGTTCAATAAAATCACGAGGCATGTGTCAGGGAAGAGTTAGAAGTTTCCAGTTTCTCAGAGGGAGAAAGCATTCCCCAAGTGGGGAGGGAGAGCAGTGAATCTAATAGAAGGGAGCAAGAGGAACAACAGGGAGGGACCGGCTGTTCACAGGAAAGGCAAGGGTTCACTTCTAGCTCAGATTCGGAGGAGGGGAGATACAGGCCAGCTCTAGCCAGGAGGTTAGAAAAAAGAGTGGGAAAACGAAGGGAAAGGCGCCTTCGCCATTTTGAGGGTGGCTGGTCACGGAGAAGCAGAGCTCAGAAGGTATCTGAAATAAGTGACTCTGAGGAATAATAGTTAAGAACCGTTTATAAGAATGTTTTGTTAATACGCAATAAAAAGTTTTATAAAAGAACAAGAAGCATTTGTGTGGTGATCTGAAGAGGACAACGACCAGTCCTGACAGCATGTCTGAGCATTTGAATTGGCCTAGACATTCTGGTTTTTACTTAGTTTCCAGGAAGGGAATAACTGAGTCAGGTAGACGCTGCAGGTGCTATTTTGCAATAGTAACATCTACTTTGGACTTTATAACCTGTTTGCCTGTGAATGAGGACTGATGCTGCTTATATGTTGAAATTTCATGTCGGTAATACATGCTATTTCTACTGCATCTTTTGGCTAATAAGCGGCAAATTTTGCCTCAGGCCTAAATAAGAGCTAGAGTACACATTGCACTTATCACCAATACGCTGTTGAAATTGCAACCCCATTATGAGTTCATTCCCCACCCACTCACTGTATTGAGGAATGTCTTTCTAAACACAACATTGCTGTCATATGGAAAGTTTTCATTATGGTTATGATCAATGCAGCAGGACTTCCTTTACTGATACAAATTGCAGGGAAGAGTTGTTGTCACAAAATAACTTTTATTTATTTTATGCCTTCCCATGGTGAGAGAAATGGAACACACAAGGTGGTGATCTTGGAGGAATGTGTTTTCTAATCCTCTTCCCTTACTTCTAGTTCGTGCATCCGATAAGCGAATAGCCTGTGATGAAGAATTTTCTGATTCTGAAGATGAAGGGGAAGGTGGACGCAGAAATGTTGCAGATCATAAGAAAGGAGCAAAGAAAGCCCGACTAGAAGAAGACAAAAAAGAAACAGAAGATAAAAAAACAGGTAAAAGCCTAAATCAGTATTTTTCTTTCTTTTACTTTCCTTGTTGGCTTTCCTAAGCATATCATACTCTCCTGAAAGTAATGGGATTTGCTTCCAACTAAATATTGTTGAGATTAGGTCAGACCTACTTAATTTATGATGGTAAACTACCCATATTTGTTATACAGTGGTACCTTGGTTTTCGAACTTGTTCCGGGAGTCTGATTAGACGTTCGGCTTCTAAAAAACGTTTGCAAACCAGAACACTTACTTCCAGGTTTGTAGCATTCGGAAGCTGATTTGTTTAACAACTAAGCCATTTGGAACCAAGATATCACTGTATTCATCATTCTGCAAAAACAGTTGAGGCATAAAGCAGCTCACGTGCCATGGTCCATAACTGTTGGTTTTCCTTTAGTTTGAATCTAAGTTGTGCATTTCTGGATTAGGCTGTTGGTTGGAATGTTTATCTTTCTGAGAATATCTCTACTTTAACCCTTTTTAAATATTCATTCTTTGCTTAAAACCTTTCACCTTCCAGGTGTTGCTAAACTACAACTCCCATCAGCCTCAGCCAGCATGGCCAGTAGTTGTAGTTCAGCAGCATGTGGTGGGGCAAAAGATTCCACACACCTGTTTTGAAAGAAGAAATCAGCACTGGCAAAGGTGCAGCTTCATTCAAATTCTTCTATCAGTGTTCATTTTCATTGTAATTTGTTAACAGCTAAGTCAACAGTTGTCATTTGAAATTTATTTATATAAACCTGCCGCTTTTAATTATTTTTAGACATTAAAGAGGAAGATAAATCCAAGGATAGCAGTGGTGAGAAAGCAGATACCAAAGGGTAAGTAAATTGTGGCCATCCTATAATGTGCATGTTTCAGAACAGCCATTAACTTTGAAATGTTACTTATGCATCTGTTATCCATTATGGATGACAATAAATTAGTGCCAGTAGCTATTAAAGAATTTATAATATGAGCAATGCAACCCTTACTGTTTTTAAATGAGCAGAGAATGGCATTAAATTGTGACCCATGTTAACAGTTGACTTTTTCCCTCCTCTGAACAGCACAAAGTCAGAACAGCTCAACAATCCTTGAATGTAGAGACTCACATCAATTAAAGGACACAATACAAAAGTGGGGGGGAAAGTTAAAAGGAACTTTTCATCTGAGAAGAGACTCTTGATTTTCATTTTGTACTATTTGGCATGGAGCGTATTTATTTTCAAACAACTGTGTTTTTGTTTTTGGCAAGTTGTATTGTGAGTTTTCTAATTATGATGCAAAATTTTGTTCCTTCCGCCAGGCTTTAAGTAATAGTATTCAAAATGGATGTGCTATTATGTTAGACGTCTAAATGATCTATTAAAATTTGCCTTTTCCTGAACTGATTTTACCCCTTTTTGTAATTATATCTTTATTAAAAAAAATGTACTCAGCCGTCTTGTCCATCATTGCCTAGAAAACACATAAATGTCATTTATGACATGTCATTTAAGACTATTGTGAAGAAATATTGTGAAGGTTGAAATTGCACTGAACTACATTGGATAGTTTACAAAGAATGCTTTTTGTATAACTTTATTGGGGCAAACAATGGACGTTGTGTTGAGAGGTTACTTTGCATGGATAACTACTAGGAGATTACTTGTGAAAATCATGTTTGGAATTATAGCACACTAATTAAACTACAGAGTTATGTTCAAGTATTCAGTAAAAAAAGGTATAGTAACCTAAGAGAATCTTAAGGGAAGAGCAGCATAGTTATCACTAACAATTTTTGATATTTTGAAAGAAAGTGCTCTATTCAGTACTATCAGTGATGCAGAATATCAAAGAATGACCCACCAACTAGAAAAACATGCCACTATCAATATACCACTCCCTCTATCAATATATAATAGTCAAGTGCTTGAGAATCCTGTTCTTGCAGTTCAAAACTGACAGTAAAGTGTTGACCCTGGCTGGCAGGTTGTGTTTGGCTATGTAGCTCAGGTTGTACAGGCTTTTAGTGAATGAAGAACTACAGGGTTGTTTGTCAAACCATCTTCCCATCAGGTCTCTTGCAATTCTTCCTCTTTTTTGCACCCCTGCTCCACCATCCAAATGCATCATAGGTGGTAACAGTTGAGAACTCACCAGAGAAGTAAACATTAATACAGTGATACCTCCGGTTACGAACGGGATCCATTCTGGAGGCCCGGCCATATCTTGAAAATTTTGTAACCGTAGGACCACTTCAGCGCACACGCACAGCGCTGCAGAGCGCTGCTGTGCACGCGTGAGCAGCAAACCCACTTCCAGGTATGCCGTGTTCGCAACCCAGATTGTTACCCGAAGGTAATGTAAACCGAGGGTCTACTGTATGTCGGAAGCAAGCTTGGCACAAAAATATTACACCCTGTAAGGCTACTTGTGTCATTTTAAACAATCTTCCTATAAAATTTGGATTATATTACTAGCATTTGTAAGTTGTATGTAGTTTTTGGCCTTTCTTACTTCCCAGGTTGCTACAAACTGATTTAAGAATAAAAATAGTGTTTAAAGGGTGTAGTGTTGATAGGACATGTTTTATAATCGGATTCTATGGTTTTCATATATGGGACAGGTTTCTATTTTGGAGGGTTCAAGATAAAGTTTGAGTCTGACTTTAGTACAACCTGCCCATGAAGCTCCCTTCTTCCTCATTGACAATACACTGATCTTCTTAAAAGTTTCATTTCTTTAAAGGCAAGAATGAAATGAGAGTGCACTTGACACTGACCTACAACAACATCAGTGCCTGTTTTTTAGCTTCTGCTCGGTGATTACAGTTTAAAGACTAGCATTCTGATTGGAATGTTGGCAATAAAACATTTTTTTGGGGGAACTGATTCTAAAGAGTGCAAAGTGTCTGTAGCACTGAGAGTGCTTTATTTATTTAATAGAATTTGTATACCATTAGCAGGCTCTTGAAACCGTAAAGGTGCTTGCCTAATGTCAGTGGGCAGAGTGTTCCAGAGTGTAAGTGCTGCCACACTGAAAGGTTGATGGACTGTGGAGTAAGCATGCAGCACTTGTAAATGCATCAGTTCTGCAGGTCAAAGTGGTTGAGTGAGCACACATACAAATGAGCCTGTGTAACTATTTCCCACTTAGCACCTTTTTGAAATGCTTACTGCTTCAAAATGCTTCCACACCTTCAGATTGTGATCTTATCTGAGAGACTAGAGCATTAGTAGCTTTATCAGTATCTCTGAGCAAAGAAGATGAGATGATGCCTCTCATCGTGTGAGCTAGAATCCGAAAAATAGCAAGCTTTTGAAATGAAGCTTTGTTGATGGAACAATAATGATTGGGTGTGGTAGGGGGAGTTATGGAATGCAGCCTTGAATCAAACATAGTAACTGCACTTTAGATCAAAGAAAAGGGATCATTTGAGCAGAAACTCTTTACAAAGAGTCTGATTTTGCTTAGAGGACTCTTAAGTCTCTAGCACAGTCTCTAGCAACAAAATGAGAAAGCTTTTGAGAGACATTTAGTTTGACTATTGTGAACAGAGTTCATAGAATCTTCCTACTCACAGAAGAGTGGGGAAGGCATTTTTTTCTGATTTTTCTCTTACCTGCCTTTGGAAGAATTGCTTTCGAGTATCATCTGAACAGTATAGGAGGCTGCACAGAAGGGGAATCTGCTAAATAAAAAAAACCTTCCATGGACTGCCCTTACACAAATGGAAGGAGTATCTTTGTTTGCAAAAGATCTACTCTGAATCCAAGCCGTTCCTTAGGATGCAAGCATTTAGTCCATTAAGAATATAGGGTTTTGATTATTACCACAGCTCCCATAATTCTTTGGGGAAAGCCATGACTGTTTGAAGTGGTATCGTAGTGCTTCAAATGTATGATGCGACAGGCCATAGTTTGAGAGCTTCTTCCTAAAGTTGAGTACTTAAGTTTAGGCCTGCTACTACTCTTTGGCATTTGCAAAGCACTTTTACAATTATTATTTTAAAAGCACTCTGAGTGCAGTGTCATTCCATACCAAACTGGTCACGTTTTAACATAAAGCCATGGCTAAACGGCATTGTAGACACAGCCCTTGATGTCCTTGTTAAGTGTCCCTTTTAATCTGTTGCAATAATTAATTAATTTTCTGTTTCCTGGAAATAATTTGCATCAGTCTTCTCAGCTTCATTGGCACACGCAATGGCGCAGATGGCGCAGACATATACAGTGGGCAGCATTAAAAACTGGCCATTTACCATCTGTGGCTGTTTTCATGCAGTGCTTGGTATCCTAAATTGTACAGGATGAATTATAAATAACACTGAGTGTATATTCTTAACAGATGCCAAGATTGGGACATCTGAACTGGCAGTGGGTAGGCAGAAATAAATGGAACCTCCCAGCTTTGAATAAGAATCCAATCCCCCCCCCCCCCCTTGCACTGCTAAGAAATGCACAAAATGAGCTGTGGGCAAGTGTTCAATCATTCCACATCACATATTTGTCAGTTGTTGAATCTGGTCCTTCCATTTTTAGGAGAGTACGCTTTTAAATAAAGTGTAATTCTATTTTTAAAAGCTATTAGGACATACCTGCTAGTGAAAGGAGTTCTATATCATTAAAGAGAGAAGTGATAGGAGTGGATCCCAGTAGTAGATCACATGCTTTGCATTCAAAAAACACTGGGTTCAGCCCTTTCTATCTCCAGTTAGTAAAGGGTTCTGAGTAGCAGAGCTGCCTGAGAATCTGGAGAACTGCCAGTCAAAAGTACTCTGCTAGATGGACCAGTTGAGCGCTTATGTAAGTTTCAGCATTCAGATTTCCCCCACCCATTAGCTACACAATCTTTTGATAAGTATGAAGAACAAAATGGAAATACAGCTTAAGTTCTAAAATACTATTATACTGTTCCATGGAAAGCACCTTCTGCAAGTGGAACATCAAGATTTCTCTCTTCACAACACATATCTCCAAATAATAATAATAATAATAATAAATTTTATTTATATCCCGCCCTCCCCAGCCAAAGCCGGGCTCAGGGCGGCTAACAACACTAAAATAGTGCAACATTATAACAACATTATAAAAATTAATTAAAATCAAAATTGATGGCAACCATAAACTAAAGTTTTGTAAAGATTGCCAAAGGAGGGAGTCAGGCTGCGCTCTGACCAAAGGCCTAGTGGAACCGCTCTGTCTTGCAGGCCCTGCGGAAAGATGTCAAGTCCTGCTGGGCCCTTGTCTCTTGTGACAGAGCGTTCCACCAGGTTGGAGCCGCAGACGAAAAAGCCCTGGCTCTAGTTGAGGCCAGCCTAACCTCTCTGTGGCCTGGGACCTTCAAGATGTTTTTATTTGAAGACCGTAAGTTCCTCTGTGGGGCATACCAGGAGAGGCGGTCCCGTAGGTACAAGGGTCCTAGGCCGTATAGGGCTTTGAAGGTTAAAACCAGCACCTTAAACCTGATCCTGTACTCCACCGGGAGCCAGTGCAGCTGGTATAGCACCGGATGAATGTGATCTCGCAGCGAAGACCCCGTAAGGAGTCTCGCTGCGGCATTCTGCACCCGCTGGAGTTTCTGGGTCAGTCTCAAGGGCAGCCCCACGTAGAGCGAGTTACAATAATCCAGTCTGGAGGTGACCGTCGCGTGGATCACAGTGGCTAGGTCAGGGCGAGAGAGGTAAGGAGCCAACTGCTTAGCTTGGCGGAGATGAAAAAATGCCGCCTTTGTTATAGCTGCAATCTGCGCCTCCATGGAGAGGGAGGTATCGAAGATTACACCCAAACTCTTAACGGACGGTGCTGGCACTAATTGCACCCCGCAAGAGATGGGAGTTGCCCCTCAATCCCATATCGTCCCGTCCCAGCCAGAGGACCTCTGTCTTCGAAGGATTTAACTTCAACCGGCTCCCACGTAACCATCCAGCCACAGCTTCCAAGCATCTGATCAGTGTGTCTGGGGCCGAGTCAGGATGGCCATCCATCAACAGATAGAGTTGGGTGTCATCGGCATACTGATGGCAGCCCAGCCCAAAACTCCGGACAAGCTGGGCGAGGGGGCACATAAAGATGTTAAAAGCATCGGGGAGAGTATCGCACCCTGGGGCACTCCACACACCAAGGAGTGGCGGGATGACAATTCCCCCCCAAGCGCCACCCTCTGTCCCCGACCAGAGAGAAACGAGCGCAGCCATTGAAGGACTGTGCCCTGGATCCCCACGTCGGCAAGGCGGTGGTCCAGGAGTTCGTGATCGACCATGTCGAAGGCTGCTGACAGGTCTAGAAGAATCAGCAGCCCCGACCCGCTTCGATCCAGCTGCCTGCGGAGATCATCTGTTAGGGCGACCAGAGCCGTCTCGGTCCCATGACCAGCGCGGAAGCCGGACTGGAATGGATCCAGAGCCGATGTTTCATCCAGAAACCTACCAAGCTGTTCAGCAACCGCTCTCTCAA